TTAATAACTAATAAATAATTAATAAATAATTAATAAATAATTAATAAATAATTATTATATTATAAAGTAATAATTTTTCTTTTATTCAAAATAGAGCTAGTATTATATTTAAATAATAATTTAATTATTATCTATTATTAATAATAGTTATTAAGTTAAAAATAATTAATAACTATATAATAATTTAATACTAGTTTTAAAACTAATCATAACTGTTTTAAAACCTCAAAAAACCTTCACTAACCGTCGTTACTAAATGGCCTGGGCCACTACGTACCAGTAATCCGTCTTGCTCAGTAGGTTGATACGGTGGCCCTCGTCCTTTCCTGGCAGCGACTACCCAGGCGTTTTCACATCCGGCGGCGATCGCATGAGAGGACCGCCATCCCGTGAGACGCGAGATGTCTCGGAGGATGGAGATGGTCCAGGCCCGCTGTGCGGCATCCGTATACTGCACAGCCGCAAAGAAAATCGGGACCGTCATCTCTGTCAGCGAGGTGCCTATTGTTGGGCTCAAAGTTCCGATTTCTAGATTGTACCGCTGGGGATAGTAGATTCCTGCAAGAATCTTGCCAATGATCTGGGCATATCCGGCCGTTACGCCGGCCACAACGCCCGAGGCAACCATCATTGCTGGAGGCATCGAAGGATGGAGTCGGTGTAGGATAATACGCCCTGCGTAATAGAACCCCCACACCACCGCGATCGTGTTGGTGCGATATTGAAGCGCTGGTCCAAACGGGGTTGGGATCGGAGGCGTACTGTCCGGAGGTAAAGGGAGGAAATCTCGTCCGAGAGCAACAGCGAACGAATCGAAAGCAGCCAGGATGCTATTCCACTCGTCCTCGGCTTCGGTATACGCGGCCTCCTCATCCTCCTGGTCCTGTCCCTCGCCCATACTGGGAGGGACTGGGGGACGATCATGGTCTTCGCTCTGTTGGAAGGCAGAAGGTAGCTGAACCGACCCCCTCGTCGGTATCATTCCGTACATGGGAGGACTATCCTCTCGAATACCGGGGGTGCCTCTCTGAGACTCCGGCATCCCGAACATCCCAGCTGGCGGTGGTCTCACTGGCCCTCCGTGTGCCTGGTGACTACCAGGGGGCCCCTGTGGTGGAAATGGCCTGCCTGGCATGCTCTCATTTGGCCTATTTGGGGGCCCTCCAGCGCCCCCAGAGCCCCCAGGACCACCGGGCGCAAAGCGGGCCATATATCTGAATAGGGCAGGCCCTGGTCTCCATTCTACCCCGGTCTTCTTCGCCAATCGGAGCTTGCGGCTACGGTCCCGATATCCAAAGTCTGTGAGACGTGCAAGGAGGAGGATGAGATGGTCTGAAGAACCGTAAATAGCGTCCAGATGCCCGATGCCGGCACGAGGAGGACATTGCCCCCATTGATGATAAGGCGTACTGGATATCGGTTAGTGTGCACGAGACATTCTAGTTGGAGCAGATGCTTACAAGAGGCGGTTCCCGCTGATCAAGCTCTGAATCATATCTTGCTTACAGTACCACCAATAAAGGTCGCATTGAATTCGGTAGTCATCAATGTCTTTTCTTGTGAAGTGCTTCTGTGGTGGTGACTGGGTTGAGCCATCGTCAACTTGGCCGAAATTGTCATAATTCACCGCTCGGCCCATTATAGAGCCAACGACATTCTCGTCGACAGTGGCCTCCTTTTCAGCAAAAGGATCATCTTCTGACGGGTAGCTGATGAAATTAGAACCAAAAAATGACCTCTCTTGAGCCCTTTGCTCTCGTTGGGCCCGGACTCGACGTCGCTGGGCCCGGAGATCTCGCGTCAAACCAGCAAAATCGATCTCGCGGACTAACTGGGCGGAGCCTGCCACATGGCTGTTCCATTTAAAATGATCGGCCGCCAGCACCTCGTAATATCCCAAGACGAGGGTAGCTGCCAGGGTACCAATCTGCTTGCGTCGTGTAGGCAGGCCTACAGCTGCGCCCACCTTCTTGAGCGCAAAATGGTAGTGTTTCATGGAGACAGTTTGTGGTCCTTGCTGCAGCATTGCAATGTGTAGGCTGCTGATGGCAAGGATGGCTTGGAGCAAAGCCTGGTGCTCCAGGGCCTTGAGGGGCATGGTGTAAGTCCAGAGTCCCTGCCGCGTTGTGGGAACGGGGGCGCCCAGAATCACAGAAGAGTCACTTGGATGACGCTCGAAGATGGACAATGATGGACCCGTGGACTGGAGAAAATGCACGAAGATGCGGGCTGTCTTGGGGTTGTTCAGGGGGGAGGAGCCCAACGTGGGTCGATATGAGGCAAGAATGTTGGGCTCATCGAGGTGAACTGTGAAAGACCGTAATTGTGGTTCGTCCGAGGTGGCCGATCTCATAATCAGACTCAGATGATTAAATTTCTCTGCTTCAGTTCGTTCCGCCGCTTCGGCATCAGACTCAACGTCGTAGTATTCGTCACTTTCCAGATCCACATATGTGTCATGGGAGGCTGGAGAAAAGGGAACGTGGCCTGTGTATGCTTGCAGAAGAGCTCGTTCATCTCTGGGTGGTGGGTTGTTGATAGGAGGGAACTGCCATGGAGACTGTGGCGGCGGAGGCAACAATGGGCCCTAGAAGAGATGGGTAACACAGTTAGCCATGAGATAGAATTACGACTGCTGCTGGAGCAGGTTTGAGAGTACCTGATATGTTACAGCAGCTTGGGGGGTTGAATCGTATCCCGGCACCGGAAGCCCTTGAGATAACGCTGTAGCATACTCGCTTTCCAGACTGACAATAGGAATGGAATGAACGGCACCCGAGTTCTGTCGAAGGATTTGATCTGCAGCATGGTACTGAAACGGCTGCAGACTCGGGAGAGGAGCCTCATGCCAGTGCAAAGGATTTGTGCTTTGTTCGGAACCCAGTTGTGGCTGCACGTTGTCGTGGTTAAGGACCGACTGAAATGAAGAGGGTGAAGCATCTTTGGCAGGAGGACTAGGTACGGAAGCGTACGGCCGAAAGGTATGTACTAGAGGATAGTGAAAGGAAGCTGTTGCCGTAGTCCCCTGGTCTCCTCGATCAAACGGTTGGATGCTCATGGATGGAATAATCGGCCGTGGAGCAATGGTCGGTTGCCGTAAACCAGCCGCTGGTCTCTGTTGAGGCTGAGAGGGCTGATCTCCGTAATTCGGACTGATGGGAACCTTCAACGGGATCGGTTGCATCTGCGTGCTGGACGCTGAACCTGCCCTAAAGCCTCCATAGATTCCTATCGGGTTTTTGAAGATGACCCGCGGAGCATATCCCTCACATTCTCGCTTGGATTTGACGCAATTGTTGCAGATGGGCTTCTCTTCGCCGCACTTGATCCGACGCTTGCGACAGGCTACGACAGACGAGTTGAATTAGCTGAGAGGAACAGATCCCCACGTCCATCAATGAAAAAAAAAGAAAGACTAAGACGAAGACGAAGAGGAAGAGGAAGGCAAGGAGGAAACCTGCATACTCAAACACCCTGTCTTTGTGCGTTTCTTGGGGCCTTTTCTGGGAGGATCGTTGCCCGTCAGATCATCATTCCCGATGTCCGTCTGCTCTTCTGTTGTGAGCGAGCCTTTCTCAGGGGTTTCTGATGGCCCCTGGATGCTCTGGCCGGCAGAAAACTCGATTTTTTCCTCGCGTTGCGCCATGGCAATCGGGTTCCTGAGCCGCACACCAAACAGGCAGGCATAAGAAGGTGGAGGGGCGTCGCAATCGAAGCCAGCCTCCGCCCATGGCCGGAAAATCTTCCCGGGCAGACCAAGCCAAATTGGCTTGAGGTACTCCGTATAGCGGACAAGGCTGAGCTTACAAAAACCGTTGGGAGGCTCCGGGTTGATCTTGATGGAGGAGCGAGTGCCTGATCCAGTCCTGTCTCTCTCTCTCTATGGAGGCCGTCGGATGCGGACCACCGCGGAGGGCTCCGTACTGGGCCTACTGGCAGGCATCCGTCGGGTAAAATTGCCCACCCCCAAGGACCCCCACATGAGCTTAACTGGATTTGCTCTCTGCAGGTCAAGGGTCCAGTTAGATCTAGACGTCTGTAACGGTCTGTTGCGGTACTGTATACCGCTAGTACCGCTAGTATCGACATGACAGTACGGTCCTCAGAGACGTATCCGATCGGAAAGGTACCTCCTGATTACCTAAGGTTCTCCGTCCTGAGGCTAGCAATAAACTTGCTCTTATCACCTCATAATCCATAGCAAGAAAAGATGGTCATTTGGAATGGTCTTCCGGATTTATTATGTCTCTTATTATTTGTATTTTCTAACAATATTAACAATATTCACCTGTTAACTAACTACTACTTAGGTACCTAACCTATGTACGGCGTAGTAGGTGTATGTAGTATGGTACCTAACTAACCCAATAAGTACAAGTACCTGCTCTCACCGCTTTGATCCATTTCGCCGGCAATTTATTTTTTTTCCTGTCCGCTAAAGCCAGGTCTGCTACTGCTATTCTTGCCAGCTACCGGGAATCTTTCAGTATGTTTGCTGTTCCTGGCTGGTCAGTCTCGAGCTCTGCTCTTAAGCAGCAGACTGAGCCCCAGTCCCAGGCTCAAAATGAACAGAAGCAAGATGAGACCCCCAAGCCTGGGGCAAAGTCCAATAAGCGCAAGCGTGGAAAGGAGAATGTCACCAAGGGTAACGTGGATGAAATGTTCCGCCGAGTGATTGAGGGTCAAGAAAGTAAAACGGACAAGAAACGGAAGAAGGATCCCAAACCTAAGGAGGGAAGCGGCCTGGAGAAATCACAACCGGTGAATACATCAGAGGTTGGGGATGCGGGGAAAGGAAACAAGAGAAAGAACAAGAGAAAGGACAAGGCAAAGGATAAGCCTCAGACAGAGGAGGGCAAATCTTCTGCTGTCGAAGAAGCAAACTCTCTGTCTTCAGCTCCGCCGCCGACGACGACTGCAATCTTGACACCTCTCCAGCAAGCAATGCGCCAGAAGCTGATCTCTGCTCGGTTCCGCCATCTCAACGAAACCCTCTACACCACGCCTTCTTCGCAGGCACTGGAGCTGTTTGACAAGAACCCGGAGTTTTTCCAGGAGTACCATTCCGGATTTGCTCGGCAAGTCAAGGAGTCCTGGCCCTCCAACCCAGTCGATGGCTACATCAAATCCATCAAGACCCGCGGGGCGATCCATTCCGCGCCCAAAAGGTCCGGCAGCCAGCCAGATGCTTCTTCTCGCCCTCAACTGCGCCCACTGCCCAGACGGCCCAACGGCCTCTGCACAATCGCCGATTTGGGCTGTGGAGATGCCCATCTCGCCCGCTCGTTGACCCCGTCCGCGAAGAAGATGAAGCTCAAGCTGCAGAGCTACGATCTGCAAGCGCCGGACCCGCTTATCACCAAGGCAGACATCGCAAATCTTCCCGTGGAGGACGGAAGCGTCGATGTGGCCATCTTTTGCCTGAGCCTGATGGGCACCAACTGGGTGTCGTTCGTCGAAGAAGCCTGGAGGGTGCTGCGCGGCGACGGTAAGGGCGAGTGCTGGGTCAGTGAAGTGAAGAGCCGGTTCGGAAAGATTACGCGCAAGAAGGCCCAGATCGGCGCCAAGAAAGCTCCCACCAAGGCGGAGCTGAAGAAGCTGAAGAAAGCGAAACGCGGCGGCGGCAACAATGATGGAGACGACTCCGACGTCGAGGACGCGGAGATCTACGCCGAAGATGCCCGCCCCCAGGAGGGCGCAGATGAGACGGACATCTCTTCTTTCGTCGAGGTGTTCCGTACACGCGGGTTCATCTTGAAACCCGAATCGGTCGACAAGTCGAACAAGATGTTTGTGCGGATGGAGTTTGTCAAGCAAGGCGGTGCCCCCTCCAAGGGCCAACATGCTTCCCTGGCGGCGGCTGGCACGGGCAAGAAGAAATTCATTGACAAGGTGCCTGTGGGAGGCAACATGACACCCGATGAAGAGGCCAAGGTTCTGAAGCCGTGTGTGTACAAGATCCGGTAGATACTGGTTACTACCTAGGTTGGATACATATATATCTAGATGTTATCATAGCCCAAGGCTCTGTAAGAGAAAAAAAAATTTGTATTCAAGTCCAATTCATCAGCGCTGTTCCTTTTCTATTTCTCTCAACACCGACCCGGACATGATATTCGAAGGGACTTTCCAGCCGGATTCCGCATCGCTTCGCTTCATTCATTTATTGATTACTGCCCAGTTGTGCCACAGCTCTTCCCATCTCCTCTTCATCGTAGATCCGGAATCCCTTCTCCTTCGTCACGCTCGCCAGCTGGACGTTCTTCGCATCGAGTTTCTCCTCCATGACCTGCTTCAAGGTCTTCAGAACAAGAGTCTCGGCTTCGCTTAGTGTCAGGGAACGGTGATATTCGTTCTGCAACTCGGCCTGGGCACCTTCGCTTCCGGATCCGATGGCCTTGGCGTCGTATCGGTAGAATGTGCCGGAGGGCTCGGCATAATAGCTGCAAATCGACGAGATTAGATGAATCCTGGCTCAGAGAAGAAATAAAAAATAACCAAAATAGGTCAGACATACAGCTGGGGACCATCCTCGTCGTAACCTGCAATCAGGAGCGCTACGCCAAACGGCCGGCTCATGACGCTTTCCTCCTCATCTCCACTCTCGCCGAATCGCAGCGCCAGATCACATATTGCCTGTGTGCAGCTTTCGACGCGCAACGGCTCGGCATAGTTGAAGGCATGGTTCTGTGCCTCAACACGGGCATGTTCAACAAGAGACCTGGCATCTGCCTGCAAGCCAGACATGGCACAGCCAATGTGCTGATCGATCTCGACAATCTTTTCGACCGAGGACGCCTCCAACAGGGTAGACGTGACACGCTTCTCCACGCCGAGAATAACACCTTCGGATGTCGCGACCTGCCCATCGTTAATAAATCCAAATTCTCACCAATCTAATTCAGCGTCCCATAATATTGAAACCTACACCGATCGCCGTGGATCCCAGCTTGATAGCTTCGAGAGAGTATTCGACCTGGAATAAACGACCTTCGGGCGAGAAGGTGCTGTTGCGGGCAGCATGTTAGAGCTCTGTAGACGATCTGCAACAGTACAACAAGGAGAATCTCATGGTCCGTACTTGATTCCACGGTCTGTCGAGAGCTGTTAGCCACACCGCATTGTCCCAAGGTGATGACGGAGCTTACCGTATTCCGATCGTGCGATGAACATGATGAATTCTTCAGATAGGGGCGTTACAATCAGAAATATAGGACTGAGCAACCAGCACAGCAAGAAGATATTGTTTCGAAAGGATAAACGGAGAGAGAGTCGAGATATACCCAGCGAGGCCAGAAGCTCTCTCCTCTGCTGCTGTCTACGCAACTCGCCGTGCCTGGCGGAGCCAAACGGCGCTAGTCCCCAAGCGTCGGGCGGTACGCGAACTCGACTTTGTATTTCCCGACTTTGCTCTCCGCCTTTGCGCGCGTCGGACGGCGAAAGAAAACACACGGGGATAATATAGGGAAAGAGCTGGCTATCGCCTGTCTAATGTGGGTAGGACCTGTCTGCGTGCAAGCCGTTCGCTTTATGAGTCTTCCCGCGCCCGTCGCTCTGCAGGACCATGTCCTTCGATGACCGTCGGGCCAGTTACATGAACGCCCAACGGCCCCGCGTCGTGTCCAGTCGCACTGGGGATGCTGAAAAGGCTGCGCTCCGTGGCGGAGCATCCCCATCGCAGTCGGAAGGTATGGACCGGCTACGTGGGAGTACTTCGAGCCAGAAGACCAAGTTGTCTCGAGAGCAGAACCCTGTGAGCGAGAAGCGGACCGAACGGACGACTGCCACCACCACAAGAGACAAGATCCAGGTGCGAACAAGAAACCCGGTAAAGGAATCGACAAATGCTGGGAATAGAGGCGATTGGGAGAAACCGAAGCCGAAGCGGACTGCGGCGAACGACGCGTCGAGTCCCAATTTTCGGAGGAGAGAGAAGGAACCTCCAGAGGGTCAGTAGGCAGTTCCACCAGAATCATACCCTCTCTACCATCTTGAAATTCGAAAGTACTGACTTGCTTTGTTCCCGGATAGCTCCATGGATGCCGCAAGTATCCCTGATGCCGCATTCAACCGCTCCGTTGGCCTCGCGCGTCTCGGTGCCTCCGTTAGCATCAACCGCTCCTCAATTCCTACAACCCGAACCGTTACGCGATCTTTCGCTGGACGAGCAAGAAGCGGCGATACTAGAGGATTTGCTGTATGTTTTCATGGGCTTCGAGGGCCAGTATGTGCAATATCATGCTTCATTCGATCCCACGGTCGAGAAGGACCGTCTGACGGGCCCGATTTTCCAACTTGCCCCGGGCTTGGATCCCACTCTTCGAGACTTGACGCTTTCCATGCTGAAAATGGCTACTCACTACAGCGCTATGGAAGCCTTCGTAGAGGTCCAGAGCCGTGCTGAGTTCGGCGCCGTGAGCCACGCATTATGCGCTGCCATTCGCAAACTGCTCAAAGACTACCTAATCCTTGTCGCGCAACTTGAGAATCAGCTGCTCAACAACCCCAATTTTACCCTGCATGTTCTTCACCTGCATACCATGCCGACTAGCCAGTGTCTGGCTCAGCTGTATTCCCTGGGGCAAGAACTCCTGCGACGGAACGGCTTGTTAGACCAGGATCTAGATGAGTCAATCGATGATTTCGACGACGTGGAAAACATCCTCGAGCAGCTCAAGGAAGGCGGAGACCTGGTACCGGGGGCCATGTCCAGCAAAAAGATATGCAAAGGAGGCAATGTCCTACGGCTGTTGACGGAGCGACTAACATCGTTTTCCGGAGACCCAACCGCGAAAGCTCTGTTACAGACGCTCCTACGGGAAGCCAGCCGCCCATACATGGCCATGCTCAACGAGTGGCTGCATCATGGAGGAATTAAAGACCCCCACGCCGAATTCCTGGTGAAAGAGCAAAAATGGATCAAACGAGAGAAGCTGGAAGAAGACTACACGGACGAATACTGGGACAAACGGTATACAATCCGAGAACAGGAAGTCCCGCCGCAATTGGACAGTGTCAAGGAAAAGGTTCTTCTAGCCGGGAAATACCTGAACGTCGTTCGTGAATGTGGAGGTGTCGATGTAAGTGGAACCGTCAAAGACGTTCCCAAGACACTCGACGATCCTCGATTTCTGGAAAACGTCAATGCCGCTTACACTTATGCGAATGCATCATTATTGAATCTACTACTAACCAAGAATTCCCTCACCACCCGGTTCCGCTCACTGAAACACTACTTCTTCCTCGACCGCTCAGATTTCTTCTCTTACTTCCTCGAACTGAGTGCGTCAGAACTCCGCAAGCCAGCCAAGAACGTCAACGAAGGGAAACTACAGTCTCTTCTGGACTTGGTTCTTCGCCAGCCCGGGAGTATTGCCGCCCAGGATCCTTTCAAGGAGGATGTGAAGGTCCGAATGAATAAGATTGGCCTCACCAAATGGTTGATGCAGGTTGTGAGTGTATCTGGTATCGACCAGGACAAACCCGAAGCGGCCCTCGAACGATACCAAGCCCCGGCAGCGCAAAGTACAGAAGACGAGAAGGACATTCTTGGATTCGACGCGCTAGAGCTGGATTACTCTGTCCCCTTCCCACTCTCGCTGGTCATCAGTCGCAAAACCGTGCTTCGCTACCAACTTGTTTTCCGTCATCTACTCTCCCTTCGTCATCTTGAGGGCTTGCTGGCGACTTCTTGGCTGGACCACAGCAAGGTGGTCAGTTGGCGACACAAGTCATCCGACCGACGGCTAGAGATGTGGAAGAGACGTGCATGGAACCTCCGGGCCAAAATGCTCGTGTTTGTGCAGCATCTGCTTTATTTCTGCACAGCCGAGGTCATCGAACCGAACTGGCAGAACTTGATGGATCGGGTCAACGGCACAGATGCAGACGGCTCTGAAGTCACCGTCAACGGTACCAAGCAAGCCAACCGGACGGTGGACGAGTTGATGCAGGATCATGTTGATTTCCTGGACACGTGTCTCAAGGAATGCATGCTGACACAAGCGAAACTCCTCAAGGTCTGCCTCCTTTTTTCATCCCCACGTTTTTTTCCGATTCACTTGCTCACTTTTTGTTGAACATAGATCCACTCCAAGCTCATGACCTGCTGCACTATGTTTGCGTCCTGGACGGCATCCTCCCTCGCCCGAACCCTGGCATCCGCCGACCCGGACCTTTCGTCTGGTGGGAAAGAGTCAGCGCCCGAGGTCAAAGGCTACGACCCGACCCGGATTTCCAAGCTGGAGGACACGTTGAAGCGATATGAGGACCATTTCAACCGCCACCTCCGGATTCTAATGGATAGGTATGGGGCTTTTTCTTTTCTTTTTCTTTTTTTTTAACAAGAGGGTATCTATGAATTGATGAGCAGGCGCTGATTTGCTGAATGTCTAAAGCTTGAACTATTTTGCTGCCACCGAGAGCGTAGTCCTATTGAAGCTTGCTCATTCATTGAGCTCGATAGGGAAAGAAGACTGAGATGGAAGACCTGATACCAGCCTTGGCTCAAACAACTGAAAAGCAAATCCTCCCTAGGATGCACAGTTCGAACGGCCGATACCGGAAATAGTGCAGCAGGTCTTCTCCTCCCTTCCTTACAATTAACTGCAGGCTCCTTTCGAGTCGCCCTCTACCCCCCTAATCAAGGCCCAGTCGATGGTCAACACCTCCACCTTGCACATGTTTCTCTTTCTCTCTCTCTCTCTCTCTCTCAACCACGACTAATTAAACGGGCGGGCGAATTGCATGGCAAGGGCTCGGAAAGGTTCATGAGTGACGGTTTTGTTCTATGCTAATGCCATACCCATACAATTATGATAATCAAGGTCAATTTTTTGTTAGTAATCTTCAGCATGAACTCGGTACCTGGTGCTTATGGTCTACTAGGGAGTGCCTAACTAGTATCCTGAAAGCGTACACGTACTCCGTACAAGTCCTCGCATCCATACGGAGCAAGCAACTTTGCACGACAAGCGTAATTTTTTTTAGTATATTATTGACGGTTTTATGATCCACAGAGCATTAACTAAACTGGGAATAGCATGAGCAGTTTAGTTTTTAGTTTTTACTCCTACGCATGAGAGTCGTACTTTACTCCGTATCATGAAGCTAATTTAGCCAACAGGATCAGCCAGCACCTCAGTACACCGAACTCTTGGCTGAGGGAATATCGAATATACCTCATGAACAGGAGTCGGTGCCATGATAGCATTAGAATGGATGACTAGAAATATTCAGTGACAGATTGCCAATGTGTAGCGCTATTTAGCTCTCTTTCCTTCATGCGCCACTAACGGGCCTAACCGTCCCTCGCGGCATCGCCCCCTACAATCGATTGATTCACTCCCCAGTGTGAACCATGGCTCTGGGATTTGATTAGAAACCTCTGGCACTGTTTGTTCAATGCGCCGACCCGACGGGCTGGGTTTTCGACCCTGGACCTCCCGTCTATCCGTCATACCATCGCCTGCCTGTCTTTGACGTGCATGAACGGACGGAAGGCCTTGCATGCATGGATGGCACCGAAGTTTCTCGGATCTTGTCCTGTCCTGGTCCCCCCTCCCGTCGGAGCTCCCGACCACGCATTGCAGGTGCATGGTGACACTAGCACAGTGGTCACCAACTACTCCGTGTTAGCCTGTCGGCAGTGGATGGGAGGATTCTGCCGCTGGGAGAGGGAAGGGAAGGGGAGGGGAGGGCACCCTTCGGTGGAAATGGGAGTGATGATGCGTTTTCGAAATCCTCTGCCCCCCCGCCCACTTAGCAATCCATCCGAGAGCCCACATTGATCAAGAATTGGAAAAAGGAACCTCGGTCAAAATTGACTCTTCTTCTTTTTTTTTCTTCTTTCTTTTTTCTCCACTCACTCTCCACCGCTGCCTGGTTGCGCCGTCCAAGAAATATCTCTCTCTACAGGACCCATAACCATTCAATGTAGACGGATTCTTTCTCCTTTAGTCTTCTTTCTGTATGGACTCCGAGGTACACCCCGATGTGCGCCATTGGCCAACTGCAAAAAGACGGCTGCGTTCCACTTATGCCCGTCTTGCTCGATTGGGGAGGTGTGGTCCATGCGAAGGAGGAGCGTCTGCCGTTCTCCGTCTAGGGAGGGAGAATTCATAGCCATTGTTTCACTCCTGCGAACTCGGCGAGCAGTCGTTACGAAAAGAAGCGGTGAGACTCCGACTTCTGGGCCACGGAGCCTTTTGCCAGACATGGACGCCCACAGTCATGACACGAGTGACGACGAAGCCCGAAGGCTGAAGGGCACGAGTGTCAGGTGACCTTATGAGCAAAGCCGATGCTCTTTGCTTTTTTAGTCCGACTCTGGTGGCGGATCGCGTTCCAATAAGCTGCCGAATCAGGCCCGGATGTTCCCTCAATAAGCACAGGCTAGAGCTCCGTGCTGGGTCCTGTTTGGATGTCAGAACTCCTCACGAGGGAAGGAACCTGGCCGTGTCTCGTCTCGCAACTGCACAGCGATGATCCCGTTGCCAGAAGGATGATTTTTTTTGGTCCTTTTGTCCTCCGTAGAGCGCCTACGCCATGGCTAGCTGGAACCGGGCGGTTCTAGAGCGCCAATCAAGCCGGCCAGTCCTTGTTGGACGGCAGTCCTCGGTGTCTCCGTCTGATCTGCTCTCAGACAATGGAAGTCATCAGTTTCCTTATTCAGGAACATATCATCTTCAGATAAGAGAAAGAAAAGCCTTGCTGCGGTCACCACTATTACATCACCTGGAAGAGCAGTTCCATCAAAAGGCCCGCATCTCCGAAGCTGCCATTTGTTATTGGTAACTTGAACATTCGCTAGTCCACAAATGCGGTACCCCCTAGTGGTCACTGGTCAGGTGTAAACCCTGTCTGGAAATAATAATAGAGGGAGGGGAGCGGGGAGGGGCCGGAGTTCGCATCCAGAGTCTTCCGTCACCTTTTGATGATCGTCCGAAGAGGGCATGTTGGATCAAATGCCGGCCGGCCCTCCCATCGTTAGGTACATCACGCTCGAGGATTGATTTGAAGAAAAGAACTCGCCCTTACCAAGGAGCCTCTGACGCACGCTGCTCAAGGTTTGATACCGAGGGGGTGGGTGGCGCGCCTGCGATGCGGCTGACCCCTCCTTGTATCGTCATCGTGTATCTGCTAAGAAAAGCTGTTGCCGTAGTTGCAGGGCCGAACAAGGCTTCTATCCGTGCGCTGCGAAGGCCTAGTACATTCAAATACCCACGATACCGTGATATCAAAATGCAAGTGGGTGCGAAGGCAGACCTTCCAAGGCTTTGTCAGAGAGCCTATCCGCTTCGAGTAGGAGCTCTCATTGGTATTTTTTTTCCTGTACGCGTTCCTGTGCCTGTTTTATTTCCGCCTCTCCCTCTCTGTTCCTTCCCCCCCCCCCCCCCGCTAGAAGTAGGCAACAAGCAATTAGCCCCTGCAACCGGATATGCAGTAGTAGTGCTTGACCGCTGGCCAGACAATATTGACAGAGATTGGCATCTGCGGGTAAATGCCGTGCGTAGTGCGCATTGTGAAGGCCCGCAGACTCCCTCGAGCGTTGCCTATGTCGTAGTGCCTGCAATACAGCGATTTGCACACAGTCTCGCGGCCGATGGTACCGCTGGCGCGGATGTAAAAAAAAAACCCCCCCCTATGGAAACCCTTGTTTCGCACAGCCATTAGGGCACATATCACTCCCCATCGACTTTGAGGGCATGCAAACATCCTTAGACAAAGCGAGACCGTGGAAACGACCGACAGACACATATTGAAAGGTTCCAGTGGTTCGGAGACCTTGAACAGGGATAGGCGATGGCTTTGAGATTGTATCGAAATACTGGTCAGTGCTTTGACAGGACACCCAGGCAGACTGACCATTCATTCTCTCCATCAAGGAACCCAGAAGCCCAAACAGAGGCACTAGACCCTGTCTATCTCGATATTTTATCCATCCGAGATCGTGAATATCAAAAATACGCGATCGATAACCGCATATTCTTCGAGCCGGTGGATGATGTAAAGTAACAAACAGGTTCCCATGTCTTCCTGTCTGACTGATCTTTCCCCCTATCTCTTCACTCCAGAGTGAAGCAGAGCGTCTTGATATCCAGCATCGAGTCTTGAATAGGGTGTTCGATGGTCGACTCATCTTCCCGCCCGTTCCACGACCGAAAAGGATTCTGGACTGTGGTTATGGAAGTGGAGCGTGGGCTGTCGACGTTGCTGAGCAGCATCCCGAATGCGAGGTGATGAAGTGGAAATTCCCGTCGAGACTCTCGCAAACTGACGCTTGGTTCTGAGTCAAAGGTAATCGGTGTCGACGTCTCTCCGCACATGCAGCCAGGCGACATGCCTGATAACTTGTGGCTACAGGTAAGTGAAGAGAATGCAGGCCTGATGCAGCTGTAAGACATGCTCAAGGCTTCGGAACGTGGGAACCATCCGTCAGTTCATGTATACAAGGCGCTGGAAACTGGGGATGCTGTGATATAATCCAGAGGACAACGCTGCAGTATATGTTGAAGATTGCTTTGAAACATCCTTCTCAATAGAGACGGCTGACCAGAGGCCGTCTAGGTCGATGATTTGAACCGCCCATTCACGTTTCCTTCCAGATACTTCGACCTAGTTCACTCGCAACTCGTTGCAACCGGGATCAACCGCAGTCGATGGCCATCGTATATTCGAGATATCGTGAGGTGCGTACAGACTCCAAACCCCTCCTCTATCCCAGCAGGTGCAGAACGAGGACAAGTCAATTGACTGATCGAATTCCAACCACCCACAGAGTATTAAAGCCAGGCGGATGGGTTCAAATGACCGAGATCTATTTCAATATTCAGTCTGACAACGGTTCCATCACCGAGCATAACGCCCTAAGGCAGTGGAGCACAAGATATATGGGGGCGTTCGAGAGTCTCAAAGACCTTAGGGTCGGGGCGCGCCTGAAAGATCTCTTGACAGCGGCCGGCTTGGTGGAGGTGGATACCAGGATGATTCCTCTTCCCCTCTCTGCCTGGTCTAACGGTAGGAAGCGGCTTTGCAGGTCAGTTATAGTAAGGATAGAGATAACCTTGAAAGCAGACGCCCGAACGCGCGAGATAGGAGCTATGAACCGCGAGAATATCCAACGGTTGTTGCCAGCCATATCACTCTATCCGCTCACGCAACGGCTGCACATGCCACGCGAACAATTTGACGTCCTTGTGGCTCGAGCACAACAAGAAGCCAACAATCCCACCCTGAAGGCATACTTTCCGTTGTAAGCTGTCCTCCCATCGTGACTGCGGCAGGGGGGGTTCTTTTTGCGTCGATGCTGACAAGGCAGGTACATCTGCATTGGCCGAAAGCCGTGATTTGAGGACTGCGTGTCGCTACCGTCCTGATAGTATAGAGTATATAAGAAGGTTTTTGCTGCAACCGGCCTTCACAGGTATTTCGGTGGAAGGATGGTGTTACTGCAAGAGCTTTGGATTTATTAGGTGTCGTTATCGGTGTCGGTGTCGGTGTCGGATGGTTAGTCAATGATTCTTTTGTCCTGATACAGTCTTCCATATCACGCAATGCCATCAGAGCTCTCTCTCATCCATCTGCCCCTTCCTTTGCACTGGATTTATTACAATCGAGAACAGGAGGTCCCAGTTGAAACCCTCCTACCGATGAGAATGCTATTGACTGCTCGAAGCGCGGAGACGGGTGCTGTTAACGCGTTTGCTAATATAGACGAGGAATTGTAGTCGAGCAAATAAACTGATTGGCGAAAAAAGCATACCCCAACCCGAGCCATTCTATGAGAACCGTCTAGCTCATCTTATATCGGTTGCAATATGGGCACCCTGGGGACCCTCTGCCAAGTTTGAGATAGGAGTGTCTTGCTCGAAGAGTCCTGGAACCACGGCCCGTCAGCATCTAAATGTTCTCAGCAGGGAAAAACTTCATTTGATTGAAGGCATCGATGGGATTGAGGGGCTTGAAAAAAGGGGGGGCATTGCCTGCTATCCCCTACCGAGGCACGAGTCAGACTAGAATCCATATAACACGAACAGTCTGACGAGGAGACGGGGCAAGTTAGAGCAAAAGAAAAGCTCTCTGTCGATCAAAGACATGGATGCCGTCGTCAGCAAAGTGTCATACCACAGAGGGGAAAGGAAGGTGGGAAGGTGGGAAGTGGTGAGGAGAGATTACTACTAGGTAGGCCGGTGCGGTGCGGTACCAAACTGTCGGGTCGTGAGGCGGGAGGACTGAACTTTCAAGCGCAGGACTCCCTCGACACCAGCGCCTTCTCATCTGCTCGAAGCCACTCTTGACGGTGATTATGATTCCGTCGTTCATTTACATGAATTGATCACAACTGCCGTGACGTCCTTTACGCAGCCGAGAGACTGAACTCCCTGTTTCCCACCCGTTGGAGGATCTGTTCTGCCTGGGGGAACACCGTCTGCTTGTGTTTTCGCCGTACGACAGGCATCACGAAGGCCAGAACGATGGACAATACACTGTACAGGATATATTTCCACGGTTCGATAATCTGAAAGGTGGTTCGGGAGAGAGTAACTATGGAGAGCTTCGCTCCTTGGCTTGCTGTGATAAGCCCAGCTGGTCATGATCGACAGCGAAAAGCGACCGTCGCGTTCGATCCTACACCGATCTGCCGTCCGAGTTCCTTTGCTCAAGGCTCTTTGCATGGTCGTGATCAACCGGGAGAGAGATATCGAGGAGTGTGGTGCGATTCTCTCGCTACTCTTCTTTCCGGCGGAGGCATGCCAGCCAGACAGCCCTCCGAGCCAACAAACAGATCCCCACGCAGGTAGCAAGCAGTACGGAATAGGCTATTATTTATAGCGGATCTCTGACTAGCTACCGTGTCTAGACTGCTAGCTTCGCACCGTCGACCTCTGCGAATAGAATGGCGAGAGACTGCACCTCTGAACTCCGAGCAGGAGGGAAATGAGTGGTACACTACATAACCAGCGGACACCAGCTTGAATGCAGTAATATCTATCCTTTCAGTCGTCACACGAAGAGCTGCAGTGTAGTCAGTGTAGAGACCTTGCTCATGTCCGTGCTTTGGCGCCTCAAATCTTGAATCGAGTGGCTTATTAGTGCCTTGTTGCCTTGTGCCTGCCTTGGTGCCTTGTGCATGCCTTGGTGCCTTGTGCCTGATGCCTTATTTAGTTATGCCTTAGTGCCTGGTTATATGCCTTGTTGCCTTGTTGCCTCAGGCCTTTATTCATGCCTAGTATTTCAGGCTGCACTCCCAATCGGGCAAGTTCCGCGGGGAAAAAGTCGGCGCTTTTTTCGACGGCGATAAGTTTTGGATCTTCAACTCTCCTCTCCGACCGAACCACCACGCGACACAGAACAGCAGAGCACTGCTTACTCGGCGCGCTCGTCACAATGCCTTCCACATACAAGAAGGATAAGCCGTGGGACACGGACGACATTGACAAATGGAAGGTAGGACTTTCTCTTTCTCCACTAAACCACTCTCTGCTACTCTCTACTCCTGCTAACAAGTCAGGTCGAGGAATTTAAACCCGACGACAACATCGGCGGCAGCTTTGCCGAGGAATCCTCGTTCGCAACGCTATTCCCGAAATACCGCGAGGTGTACCTGAAAGAGGCGTGGCCGGTGGTGACCAAGGCGCTGGAGAAGCAGGGGATCGCATGCACGCTGGACTTGGTGGAAGGTAGCATGACGGTCAAGACGACTCGCAAGACGTTTGATCCGGCGGCAATCCTCAAGGCGAGGGACTTGATCAAGCTGTTGTCACGTAGTGTTCCAGTGCAGCAGGTACCTATTCTCTCTTCCTCCTCTGTCAAAGAGAAATCTTCTAACGCATTTCTAATGTGTCTGTCTGATAGGCGTTGAAAATCCTCGACGATAACATGGCATGCGACATCATCAAGATCCGCAACCAAGTGCGCAACAAGGAACGATTCGTCAAGCGACGCCAACGCATCCTCGGCCCGTCGGGGTCGACGCTCAAGGCCCTCGAACTCCTAACAGAAACATATATCCTCGTGCAGGGCAACACGGTAGCGGTGATGGGCCCCTTCCGTGGCCTGAAGGAGGTCCGCCGCGTGGTGGACGACTGCATGGCCAACATCCACCCCATCTACCACATCAAGGAGCTGATGATCAAACGTGAGCTGGCCAAGGACCCGACCCTCGCCACCGAATCGTGGGACCGCTTCCTCCCCAACTTCAAAAAGCGTACCCTCTCCAAACGCCGCGTCCCCTTCAAGGTCGCCGACAAGGCCGCAAAACCTTACACGCCCTTCCCGCCTGCCCCGGAGAAGAGCAAGGTCGACCTCCAGATCGAGTCGGGCGAGTACTTCCTCTCGAAACAGGCCAAGGAGCGCGCCCAGAAGGAGGAGGTAATGGAGCGCCAGCGCCTCAAGCGCGAGGAGAAGATGAAGGAGCGGGAGAAGGATTTTGTCGCCCCCGAAGAAGATGCCGAGAAGAAGGAAAAGAAGGAGAAGAAGGAAAAGAAAGAAAAGAAGGAGAAGAAGGAGAAGAAGGAAAAGTCGAAGCGGAAACGCGAGGCGGAAGACGAAGGCAGCCAGAAGAAGAGCAAAACGGATTGATTCATGGCGTATACACTACACTTCTGCCACTGTATACATTTTATACCAGTTCTATTTCCTTATTTTCTACATGCAGGGCGTCGGGGAGTTCAGTTACGGGACTAAATGCATCAAAGTACGGTACCAAAAAAGAAATTCAAATCTAGATTAATGTACATCTATCATGAACATGTAGTAGTAGTAGTAGTAGTAGTAGGAGTAGTATTATGCTGCAGGGACAATGAGGGTATCAAGTAAAATAGCCCACCGCGTTGCGGGTGGAAGGAGCGATATTTCGTGAGCATGATATATATAATGAACTATGGCTTGGAGAGTTGTTCCTTGCGGAAGAAGGCAAGATATCCTCCACTAGAAGATATTAGCAAGGACAAAAGAGAGAGAGAGAGAGAGAGAGAGAGAGAGAGAGAGAGAAGGGGACTTACCAAATGAGAAGCTGGAAGAAGAGTGCTATCCAGAACCAGGCGTTGGCAACGGCAGAAGGTCCGGCAGAGATGTCCGGCGAGATAGGCCCCGGCCCCAGCTTGTTCGGGGCGCAGGCGCGCGCGACGATGGTGGCGATAGAGCCGAGGACCTGGGCGGCAAGAAGCGTGCAGCAGATGTGCATGCGAGTCAGGGTCTGGAGGAGGATCATGCCGAACCCGACGCCCTGGATGGCGTCGAGCACGCCGAGCCACAGCCAGAGACTGCGGGCGACGAGGGCGCCGGCCACGTAGCTGCCCGCCCAGGGAAGGAAGAGGGCAGAGCCGGAGATTCCCCACCAGATCTGGGCCCAGCGCGGGGCGCCGAGGCCGCAGGCGACGACGGGGAGGATCCAGCTGTGGGAGCGGGACAGGTAGGCGAGCAGGAAGAGCAGGGCAACCCAGACGAAGCCGAAGAAGAAGATGACGAGCAGGAAGACCTGCCAGGCCTCGGCGTGCTGCGAGTTCCACAAGAAGGCCCAGTTGCGGCCGTAGGGGGCGCTGAGGAAGAAGTTCTGGATGAGCACGACGGCAAAGCACCACAGGACGATCTTGCGCCGGAAGAGCGAGATGTAGAAGGAGGGCACCTTGCCGGGGGTCTGCCGGTAGTAATTGGGCAGACCCAGGAAGAGCAGCACGCCGACCGCCCACAGGAAGACCGCGACGGGCACACAGATGGCCGTCATCTTCCAGCTGCCTGCGATGCTGCTCACGGAGTCGCCCGCCGCCGAGGCCGCGCTCATCACGTCACCCCAGTACCACAGCGCGATCACGTAGGCCTGCTGGGTCCCCTGGATGATGCACGCGCGGAACACCCACTTGCGGACGGGGGCGCCACCCTCGTCGCCAAAGTTCAGCGAGAAGAAGATGGACCCGCTAGACGAGGCCACCGCGTAGACCCCGCTGGCAACGTTTTGGAGCCAGCCACGGTTGAAGGAGCTGGAGATGTAGGGCGCGAAACCCAGGAGCAGGAACGCAATTCCATACAGTAGCCAGGGGGCGGACAGGACGTGGACGGACTTGTACGTGCGGAAGGCGAACCACCAGAGGATGGAGGAGACCAGGTACACCAGCGCGATGCCGTACAGCTTGAGGGCGGTCTCACCCACCTGACCCGTCAGCAGGGTGATCTGGTACGAGTTGGCGGCGATGATCTGCCCCAGGCCCAGGAAGAACGAGTAGACAGGCCAGTCACCGATGCGCATCTGCATGTACTTGCGCAGACCCGTGGGCGGCACGTAGTCGCGACCCAGCAGGAACTCATCCGCGGCCTCATGTTCCTCCTTGACGGCGTCGCTGCCGCTCTCGCGCGAAGCCGAGTCTTCGGCCGCCGAGAAGGAGCCCACGGGCGAGGCGCCCCGTTTGCCACCGCCGCCGCCGCCGCCGCGGTAGATCGAGGGGGCGGGCGACTGGTTGCGACCCAGGCGTGCGTCGCGGAACTTGTCGAACCACTTCTTCTCACTCTTGACCAAAAACTCCTCGATACACAGCTGCGACTCCGAGTTGCCACCGTTGAGCTCCTCGAGCCTCTTCTCAAAGGTCCGGTAGTACTCGCCCGTGCTATCGGTGAAGAAGGGGTCTACCTTTTGTAACTTGAAGTCCTTCTTGTCGCCAATGATCGAATCGACCGACAGCACCGACGCGCTGCTCAGCCGGTTCCCGGGTTCCATGTGCGCAAAGGGCGGGCGCACGGGTGACAGCAGGCCATCATCCACGGCCGGCGTGCCCGGGGTTCCGGGCGAGAGGGAACTGCGGTTGACAAGGCTGCCGTGGCTGGAATGCCGCGCGGAGAGGTACGGGGGGGGATTATTATTATTGTTGTTGTTGTTGTTGTTGATTGGCTGTTGAGCATGAAGATGGGTAGTAGTAGCCCCAGGCATGTGTCGGCTGGCCTCGATCTGCTCCGGGGTAACGGTGTATTCATCTTCACCGTAGTAGCTGGGGATGACATCGTCGTCGCTCTCGTCCTCGACATCCGTGCCCGCGCGACTCTGCTCGTCGGCCTCGGGGATGTTGCTCTTGCGGAGACGTCGACGACCCCGACGTTGGTTCAGGTGACCGGGACCAGAGCGGAAGCCGAGGGAGAGCTGACGGCTGAGGCCGGATTTGGGTTTCTCCTCGCCCCCGGGGCTCGGGTCGCGACTGTAGATGATGGTGTTGCGCTGCTGGGGACCCAGGTGGCTGAGGCGCACACTGGAGGAGGAGTAACTGCTGTCGCGGGCGTGCGGGAGCAGCATGGCGGGAGGGGTCTGCATGCCCGCGGGAGGGGTCATGATGCCGCTGTTCGGGGTGCCGTAGCCCGTCGGGGTGTAGGGTTGGCCGTGCGACTTGGTGTGCTCCTTGCTGTGGATGCGGATGGAGGTGGACTGCAGGATCTCGAGGTCTTCCACCCACTGGGCGACGGGGAAGCGCTGCTTGGCGGAGCGCGCGCGCATCTGGGCCCGCACCGCCGTCTTGGAGTTGAGCGCGTTCTCGATGGCGATCTTGAACTGGTGCAGCAAGTGGGCGGTCGTGGTCGACTCGACATTGTACCACCAGCCGGGCATCTGGCCCAGACCACCGACCCGGGCACCGATTCCCAGGGCACCCTTGCGGCCGAACTCGACGGCGACGAGACCAAAGGGCTCATCACGCGAGGGGATGAGGGCGAACTCGGCGCCCGAGAAGATGTAGGGGGGAAGCGCGGTGAACTCGGGCTTGGAGAAGACCCGGCCCGGGTAGAGCTTCATCATGCGGTCGAGTTTGAGGGCGGCGAACTTGCCGTACAGGTCGATGACGGGTCCGATACAGATCAGCTGGACGTTGGGGCGGGCCTCCAGCACGGCGGGCATGACATCGGCGATGAGATCCACACCCTTCTGCATGGACCAGCGACCCACGAAGACGAGCAGGTCGGCGTCCGGGTTCTGTTCGAGTCCCGCCCATTCCTGGGCCTGCCGGCGCAGATCCCCACGCGTGGCCTCGTAGCTGGAGTCGACGGTGATCTCGCCCTCGGGGGCCTGGTTACGGTGCCATTCGCCCGTGTCCGAGGGATCCGGGTTGGGCAGGTTGCCGACTTTCTTCAAGCCCCAGAAGATCGGGTAACGGGCATAGGACCGCTTACCGTACTTCTTGGACACACCGACGGCACCGAACCCTTGCTGGTGGACACGGAGGTAGCTGGCGCCACCGTGCAGCAGGTTGAACACCTCGCCGAACTGGACGTATTTGGCCGCCGTCTCCGGGTCGAGGTTGAAGACGGAGCAGACCTCCTCCTTTTCCTTTTGCGTGCGGATGGGCCACAGACCCTGGAACTCGGCGTTGTGGAGCGACAGACAGCACGGGACCGTCTGGGGCAGCAGGTAGAGGGGCGCCAGGGACCCGTGGTAATCGTTGATGTGATAGAGGTCGATGGGGAACCGCTGGATGGCGCAGGCGATACACTGGTTCCAGGCGGAATAGTAGATGGCGCTGTCCAGATCGTCCATGCGGGCCGGGTAGGGCTCCGCCTTGGACTGTTGGCGGAAGACCGGGGCATCGAGCAGGACGTAGGTGATGTTCTTGAGCACGTGGTACTGGACCTTGACCTCGTACGAGTTGCCGAGCACGGTGACGAACATGGATTCGGCGGGCTGGTCCTCCGGGTAGTCGATCCCACCGACACAGGGGACCACCCAGATGAGATCCTGGTGACCGAGGTGCTTGCCCATCAACTGAGCCATGACACCCAGACCACCGATCTTGATCTTGATGCCCCAATCCTCAATGTCGTACTCCATGGTGGCGATGAGGACCATACGACGGCGATCGGTGGACTTGGCGGCGGCGGCGGCGGCAAAGGCCGAGCTGTCCTGCAGGAAGCCCGACTTGTTGGCGAGGCGCATCAGCGGGTTCATGGCTTCGCCGCCCTCCTCCGGGTGGCGGGAGCGGTGGAAACCGCGCCGCAGGGCGAGCGGGATGAAGGATTTCTTCTCGCTGACGCCCACCTGGTTGAATTTCACCTGGTAGAAGGATTTCATGAAGCCGTAGACGACAGCGGCGGCGGTGATGACGGGGACCAGCCAGAGCAGGAAGAAGAGCGCCATCTGCAGGGTGTCGGAACCCGTGGGCAGCAGCTCGAAGCGCATGGTGGCGTCGTCAACGTGGATGCGCCAGGCCAGGTAAGGTTTGGGCGGATGGGCGGTGATGTTGATGATGACCGAGGACAGCGATGAGGGCGGGAGCCGGTCCAGCACCGAATCGTTGTCCGCGTCACCGTACACGCCTTGCTCGTCGGGGGACCCGTCCGGGTCCATGCCCCAGACGTTGATCTGGCCCACGGCGGGCCACTCGGCCATGAAGCGGAACTTCCAGGTCTGGTCGTCGGTGTCGAAATGCATGACGTTGTGCAGCCCGGCGTCGTAGCCGTACTCGTTGTAGGGACCGTCGAAGAAGAGATGCGGGAAGCGGCGGGGCACGTTGGGTTTCCAATCGTAGTCGCCCTCCTGCTTGTAGTCGCTGCTGCCCGTCCAGCGACTCCAGTATTCGACGCGGACGTGTTTGCCAGACCACTCCTGTTTCTTGGTGCCGCTCCAGGCGAGTTCCTCGATGGTGTCGTTGCCGCCGGAGTAGTCCATCCAACTGGAGAAGGTGGACCCCCAGTTGGTCGAGTAGCGCCACTTATCGGCGCCCGCGGCGTGGTGCTGGACGAAGAGGCTGCCGTTGGAGTATCCGTGCAGCAGGCTCTCGGAGTAGTTGGCCGTGTAGAAGATCATCGGGTTGTCAATCTGGCCGACGCGGATGAGGAAGTGGTCGATGGCGCTGGTGGTGTTGCCCGCGGTGCCCGTGGGGTTGTCGACCGTGACGCGGTGAACACCGTTGTAGACGCCCGTGAGGTTGGCGGACCAGACAAACACGCGCGGCAGCTCGCCGGAGTAGGTGCCGTTGGTCTCGGAGTAATTGCCACAGACCACGGAGCTGGTGTCGAGGACGGCGACGTTGCCGGACTCGGTGGACGAGTTGAGCGAGATGGCGTCGGTGATGGAGGAGCAGTTCATCTCGGCGGAGAAGTAGAGTTTGATCGGGATGGTCTCGTCCTCGTCCGGGGCCACCGAGGAGAGCACGGGATGATCGTGACCGGGCGAGAAGCCCGTGATGGCGGGCAGGGGCCCGATCCAGCGGGACTTGGGCACGTAGGCCCGGTACTCGTAGCGGGTCATGGTCATGTTGGAGAGACAGCCGTTGTACTTGGTCGAGCCCTCGAAGCCCAGCTTGACGGTGCTGGACTTGAGGGTGTGCTCATCGAACGGGTAGAACAGGTTCTTGACGGTGGTGCCGGTGTCAAAGGGGGCGATCAGGGCGCTATCCTCGTCACTGCAGTCAAAGGTGTAGTTGACGGTGCGGTTGACGTTCTGGTAGACCAGCCAGACGGACTGGTTGTCCGCGGCGGACCCCAGATCCTGGAGGGACTCGTAGCGGCCGCGCAGAATGGACCACATGCCGGTCTGGGTGGCGGTGCCGTTGGAGCCCGGGTAGTAGACCTCGGTGGTCTGGCTGGAGAGGTGCTGGATCCACCAGCCGTCATTGATGGCGGGGTAATTCTCGCGCATCTGGTACATGTGGCGGATGATGTTCCGGACGGGATGGGAGGGGTCCCGGTGATCGTAGGTGACGGTGTCATCCTCACAGCCGTGGCGGGCGGCGTCGACGGGCCAGTTGTAGTACTGCGAGGAGTCGAGGGAGAAACAGCCGTGCATGTGCCAGGCGGTCTGCGGGGACATGGGCATACGGCCGTAGATGTAGTTGTCGGCGGTGGCGTCGAGGATGTAGAAGGCCTGCTCCTCGCCCCAGAGGAGGAGCGGGATGCCCGGCAGGTGCAGGGTGGTGACGAAGAGGGCGAGCAGCTGGCGCTCCACCCCCCACTCGATGGCGGGCCAGCGGAAGACGTCCTGGTTGGTGGCGCCATACATGTGACGAGGATCGAAGACGCCGGTGTTGGCGTTGATGAGGTCGTTGGAGTAGAGCATCTCCTCCCAGGCGGGCACCCAGGCGACCGGGGTGTCGTAGCCGGCGGCGAGGTTGCCGTCCATGCCGAGAAAACGGGTGAGCGAGCGGTAGATGGAGTAGTGGAAGGCGGCGCCGTCGATGGCCTGGTGGTTGTTCTCGCGCAAAAAGTACTGCTGGGCGGATTCGTTGGTGAGCTGCAGGGCCTGCTCGATGCTGTCGGGCCACTGGTTGGGCTGGCGGCCGCGGCCGAGGAAGACGGAGCCAAAGGTGTTCCCGCCCGTGATCTCACCGGCGAGGTAGAAGTTTTCCTTGCCCAGGGCCCGGGCGCAGTCACGGTAGGCGCCCGAGATGTCGCCGAGGGCATCGACGGTGGCCTGGGTGGCCTTGTCGTAGCGGAAACCGTCAATGTCGAGCGACTGGATGATCATGCAGGAGTGGCGGATGATCTTGGCCCGCACGCTGGGGTGCCATTCCCGCAGACGGTCCTGGACGGAGGCGAACTTGGCCAACTCACGTTTCCAGTCGGGATAGACGCCAAAGGCCTCGATGTCACCGTACTGGTCAAAGTCGCTGTCGTAGCAGCCGACCAGGCCGGCGGTGATGGACGAGGCGACCGGGTACCCGGTCTCGTTCCAGAAGCGCGGGTAGTCGCAGGTATCGTTGTACGTGTTGCCGGGATGGAAATCGACGTACTCGCGATCCGTTTTCCACTCTACGTGATATTCCAACTCGTTGAACGGGGCCGTGACGTTCAGATAGCCGATGAAGCCAATCAGGTCGCCGAGTCTGAACAATTAGCCATGATTTTTTCCGTCGATATATATATATATATATATATCGACAACTCTACTATGCTTGAGGAGACAACTTACGTTCCGATGGTGTTGTCCATGATGACATACATGCCACGATTGTGAATCTCGGTGATGGCGCTTCGCCATTCGGCGATGGTGGCATAGTGCTTGTCCAGCAAAGTGGTATCCAAGGCCGAGTAGCCATCAGCACCCCAAGGCTGGTTCATCAGGGCGGTTCCGGCCAGATAGATGCACTGAAGCAGGTAAGAAAACAGAAGAAACGGAGAGAAGCAGGTTGAAAGAAAGAGATACCTTGATGCCCATGCCCTGGAGATAGTCAAGAGTGGTAAGCAGGCCAGCAACATCACCACCATGACGCATCTGGTTGGAGAGCAGATCATGCTCCCAGACGGTCTCGTTGATGTTATCGTTGGTCGGGTCACCGTTGACGAAACGGTCAAGCATGAGGGTGTAGACGGGGAAGCGCCAGTTGTCGGGGGAAGGATGCCAGGTATGGTTCTCCCAGGTACCATTGTAATAGACCGGGTCTGTGGCGGTTTTATTGGTGTTGATATTATAATCGACCAGGGCAGCGTCGTAGGGCCATGAGGCGACCAGGCCGGCCAGGCCCAGGAGAGCCAACAGCGGCGTGGACGACCGCCACAGCATTATTGTGCAGTAAACAACAAAACACAAGTGATCTCTATGGCGCCAGCATGGACGAGGAAGGACGAGGGGTAAGAAATCTCTGAACCGAGCAGATTCTTCTCTTGTTTCGCTTTTCTGACCCCGAAGTGATTGATTCCTGATTCTTAATCCAGTCGGGAGGAGGAGACTATAAGGCCGTCGGGCTTGTCAGTCGGTGAGCAGAAAAAAAAAAAGAAAGGAACACCGGGGGAAGAAGAGAAAGCAGACAGACTGATAACGAGAGACGACACGGTCCTCGAGAACTCTGACGATCCGACGAACGAAAGACGATAAGCAGAGACGAGAGATGCAGGAAACGAGAGATGCAGATGCAGCAGCGACCGGAACGCCCAGAGAGCTAAAATAAAAAAAAAAAATCCCGCGGGCTGCAGGAAACGAAGGCGAAGGTGAAGGCGAAGGCGAAGGCGAAGGCGAAGGCGGTTTGAAGAAACGAGAGAAGAAGAAGAAGGATAAGGGGGAGGAAGAGGAAAAGGTGAGGAGAGGAAGAGAGGAAGAGAGTAGAGAGGAAGAGAGGAGAGGAAGATTAGGAGAGGAGAGGAGAGAGGAGGAGGAGAGGAGAGGAGAGGAGAGGAGGAGGAGGAGAGAGCAGAGACCAACAGGATATCGCGATTGTCACGGCCAGCCTCTCTCTGAACGTACCCAACTTTCGCTCTGTTCTATTTCCAGCAGGCAGTGGGGGGGGGCTGTGGGTACTGCATCTGTACATCAGACACTGCTACGAACTAGTTACGTGGATAAAAGAGGCTACAGGAGGCATATAGAATGATAATAATAATAATACTACTAATAATAATAATAATAATCTAGACAGAATATGATACTCCGTCCTACATTTCGTTGACATCTTATCCTCATTTCTCTGCTGATTCCCCTTTTCCTGGGCTGATATTCAATGACGTCGTATCTGTTGTATCGTCACGTACCGTATAGAGGTCAGGTAGGTAGTTCCTACCTAGTAGGTACAGAGTATCTACCACGAATAATACTATACTACCTAGTACATATATTAGTATATAATAGTGAGATATTTCTTAACAGTGTCATTCTTGTGGGCTGTAATATGTATCTGCAGTCTACTACATGGTATATATGTAGGTAGTCTACTACATACTCCATGTACTGATAATATGTACATATACTACTGTATATAGTACTCCATAAACTACCAGGTAATATCTACTATCTCCTGATTGACGTTGTACAGATAATACGATATCCCCTTGCATCGCTTATCAGTGGCTTTCCTTGATTGGCGGCGGGTGAGACAGTCTGGCTGGCTTATCTAGAAGTATCCTGTAGGAGGATATTTCTTATATAATATACTTATAATATAGTTATTATAGTAATAGTATAAGTTACCCATAGTCAGTCTTTACTCACTACTCTACTAGGTACTAGGTAGGTATACTGCTAGTTACTACACTACTAGGTACTAGGTACACTACTCCTTGGTACTAGGTAACTATACTACTACTACTACTACTACTACTACTACTACTACTACTACTACTACTATGTAGTATACTACCTTGCATCTCCCATAGGCCATGTTCTATTGATGACAAGAAATGTCTCAGCCGAGCCTCGTATCAACCGTACTCGTGTTAGTGGATACAACCATACAGCATACATACAGAGTACCATAACCATTAATCTCCTGGTAGTATATAAAGTAGGTACTTCGTACTCTATATGGCATTCTGATTATTATACCAAGTGAAGTACAAATGAAGTACAAGGCAAGTACTACTAATATACAGATCCTTATTAAATACTAGGTAGGGTCTATCCCAGGTACCTCCAGGCCCACCTGCTCCACCCCACCCAAGACATGTCTTAATTCACCCACAACTCTATTCAGCAGTTATAATTAGTTTGAATACTACATGGTACATGGTACATGGTACTACAGAGAGATTCAACTATCCGGTCAATAACTAACTATAATCTTCTCGAAAAGTATGTCCCGATTATTTCTCTGGACAGAGTATGTAGTAGAATAAAACACATGAAACACCCGCCGTTTTCAAGCAGGGCTCGACTCTGGCCGCCGCTACGTACTCTCCTACGCAAGCTGTGACGCGGACTCATGCACTTTGCTGGCAGGCAACTGTCTGAGTCAGGTTCGACGAGTACGGAGTGCCTGTGGTATGTCAGTCCCTATGTTAGTACCTGTGGTAATCCTGATTTATTATGGAGTCGTTGGTTAGTACTCCGTAGTTCCTATCCATAGTTTGTCCAGTAATTCTTATTATGCTATTAGCTATTCACTTGATTTGTGGTGGGGTTACCACTCGCCACCAGGTAGTTATTAATACCACGGGCCAGCGAATTATAATTTAGTAATCCTAGCTATTAATAATTAACTAATACCTGGTTACATTTAGGGTTTAGGGTTAGTAAGGTTGGTAGGGTTACCAGTGGTTACTAGGTAACTAGGTAGTTATATATATAAACAACCTATAGATGGACTCACCACTGGCTGCGACGTGAACGTGCAGTGCGGATAGTCAGTCTCAGATGCCATCTCCCCCCACATGACGGCCTTGACGGCTGCATCAACATCGTCTGCAGGCGGGTGACAGGCCGCACTGATGGCGGCGCTGCAGTGGCTGGTCAGCGGGATGCTGGAGCGGAACCTGCGGATCGACAGCCCGAAGAGGGCCGTGAAATCCACCCCGGCGATCAGAAGCAGGATGAACATGGCGATCGGCGAGTAGCAGGCGCCGCGGGTGATGGAGGACGACGCGGACAAGGAGGGATCCTCGTACTCGACGATATCCACGAAGAAGATGCTCTGCGACAGCAGCCAGTGCATCACGGCCGACACGATGAGCAGCGGAACGCTGTACCGGAAGGGTAGGCTGAGATAGTAAGTCGACCGCTGCAACCCCTGGGGCCAGGACACTCGCAGGGGCTTCCGCCGGATGGCATAGCTGTCGAACTCGGCTGCTACCAGCATGGCCGTCAGCAGGCTGTTACAGAGGAAATACAGGATGGAGAGGACCAGTTGCGGCGTGTTGCTAATCAGCACAAGTGCAATCAGGTTGGTCGAAACGAATGACGAGCCGATCATCGCCGTCGAGCTGGGCTGTCCAAATCCCATCTCCCAGGCCGCCGCAAGCGAGATGAAACCCTCGCCGCCGCTGGCATTCGCCATTGAAATCACAAACAGGAAGATTGACACCCCCAGGCAAGCAAGGAAACTGTCGGCTGTCAGCCATCTGTAGTATGAACGTGATACGGGGAGAGAGAGAAATATACAAACTCATGACAACCGCCCACCGCGTTTTGCTCACGGCCTGGAACCATCGTTTCGGCCGGGAGAGGAGCATCGGGTGTGTCTGGAAAGGCTGGTTCAGGTCACCCAAGGCCAGACCGTCTGACGCCGAAATACGGGTGTATTTTTTGGACGATAGGCTATTGGTGAGGTCTGCTCGCGACAGCAGACATCGGCCTTTGGTGGTCTCATCGGGATGGGTCAGAAAAGAGGCGATGCCATCTCCGACAGTGAACAGGATCTGCTTGCGACTTGTTTTTGCCGTGAGGTACATGCAGGCCACTTTGATGGCATTGCAGATGATGACACACAGCACGATGGCTGGGCTGAAGAACAACTGGCATTTTCCGTCAACTTTTTCACTCAGACAATAGGAGATTGGAATGCTAATGTCGCTGATGTATATATACCAATTGATCACATCTGTTCCCATCGAATAATAATAATAAAGCTCCGCTATGGAATCATTTCTCTGGAACGTCACTTGGGAAGCCCATGAGCTGTTCGTCCAGTGAGTCGGAGTATCTAGGTATTCACGCAGCTGACGAGAATCGGGGCTGTAAAGATAATAATACTGGATCAGATGCGAGAGGTCCTTGGTGGGTTCCTCGGTCTCGCCATACACCGAGAATGTGTCAGAAAAGTAGGCCAAGCTGAAATTGGTCCGGGCCCCGTTGTCCGGAGCAGAAAAGTAGTAGTTGGGATAAGTCCAATGGGTGCCATACGCCCACCAGCTTCCATCCTTAACAACTGTGCTCCGGGAGCCCTGGGTTTCGCTGCCTGAGACAGAATTGTAGATGGATGACGTGGAAAGGAACTGGATTGGCGTGGACTGGTTCGCAGCAACTTGGTCCGAGATCTTGGCCACCAGACTGGAAACATTGTGGAAGTATTTGCGGTCTGCAACAAAGAGCAGGTTGCCCCTGGTAGAGATGAACTCGGTGTTGTATGCGTCATAACACTGCTTGTTGGTCAAATTTTGGAAGGTGCCATTGAAGATCTGGGCCTGGACAACAGCGGGCTCGACGCCCATCACCAATTGAAACGCGGCAGCCTCAGTCTCATTGCGGATGAGCGATTCGGTCGGTGCCAGGTCATCGGGGATATACAGGATGCCGTAATCGAACGTCACAATGGAAGAGAAGATGACGGAGTTGTATCTGCAATCTTCTTCTTAGCGTTCGACCACGAAGATTGAAGGGCTTGGAGATATAAGTACATCATATGGATTGGGGTTGAACTCAGCAACAGCAGCATCCAGAGCACCTTTCGCCTGGTATCCATGACGAAGAAGTTGCGGAAACTGAAGGTGCCGATGTCCAGCCAGCGTCGACGATAGTGAGCGTGGTCGATATCAGCGCGTGAGGGCGCCGCCAGACACTGCATCGTATAGTTGCTCAGAGCGAGCAGAATCGTGCTCAAGACGTTAATGACGATGTGCAGGCCATTTGTCCAGCCCGTGGTGACGGTACAGCTGCCTGCATACAGCTCGACGCTGTCAAACTTGCCGCCACCGTCTCGACGAGAGTATCCAAAGCCAGCCGCGATGATTGTCAGAATGATATTGATAACCAGGATGACAGCTGCAGCCCAGGTGCAGAGCAGGGCGCCAGCGATCCATTCTGTGTCCCTTTCAGCCTTGGGTTTGGATAGAAGCGAGCGGAGGGACAGGGAAATCATCTTGGGCCGGAATCTATCGTTGGAGTCGTCTAGATTGACGTACTGGGGGCGTCGAAAGAGACGAGAAATGGCAGACCAGACGGATTTCAGTGTGTCGCCAGCCATATTTGACTGGGGTTGGGGAGGAAGAAGAGTCGGGCGAGGTTGAGCGAGGTTGAACTGAGGGGAAAGTAACAGCAGTCCAGCCTCATTTGGTTTACTTGATAAAGGGTCTCAGCTGGAGGACAGGGATTATGCTGTGCAGAGCAACACATGGTGAATATAAATAGAATTATAAAGCTGAACACAGCCTTAAAGGTAGGAAAGTATATCAAAGTTGATTTAGTAGTTAATATATATCATTTGTATTGTATATGCTTGTAACCATCCTACTCTATATTAATGAAAATGTCCACACCCCTGATAATATCAAGTAAAAGCGATAGACCAAGTATTTCCAAGGTGGGGAGGGATATTAAATTAGGATCATCAGAGGCAAAATAGTATTACTATACCATAATATCACTTATTAATCAATTAATAATAGTCGGTTGCTGACCTTGGCATACAACATAGTTAGTATAGTACTTCGTATAACTACCAAGTTAATTAACTTATATACTCCGTACACGACGGATTATACCCTGTAAATTGTCACCGAGGACTCTTGACCTCTATATTCCAGTAGGTTGGATAAGTAGAAGCAGTGTTTCTAGTTAATTGATGTAATACCTCAAGTAAATACTTCTAAATCTCAGTTAGGAGTGTATACTAATGAGTCTGCCTTCTGTCTTGTGCCTTGTGCCTTGTGCCTTACTGCCTTAGTGCCTGAGGCTAATACAACTGCCTTACTGCCTTACTGCCAAGGCTTACACTCACCGCCAGCGATTTCGGCGTGCAGAAACCCCTCCTTCTCCGCCTTTGTGTTTTCTTCGGCCCCCCTCGCTTGGTGTTTTTGTGCCAGTTCTTGTCTCTGCCATCCACCGTCTGGTTGATCGATACCGGTGGAACTGCAGTCGAGGAGAGGCTAGAGGCTCGAGCTCTGGAGTTCTGTTTATCTAGAGTCTGTCCTGATTGTTAAGAGGTAGGCGTTGCCGGGGAGGAGAACAGAACACTTGGCCAGGGGGAGTCAGTTTAGCTAACCTCCCGGTGAATCTCTAGGCTCCTGCCACCAGAAAGAAAAAAGAAAAGAAAAAGAAAAGAAAAAGTCACCATGCATATCAGAGACAAGCTCGCTGAGCAGGATGCCGCCCAGCGGCCGGGCATCTCCTTTGAGTTCTTCCCTCCCAAGACCGCCCAGGGTGTTCAGAACCTGTACGACCGCATGGACCGGATGCACGCCCTCGGCCCCGCCTTCATCGACATCACCTGGGGTGCTGGCGGCCGCCTGTCCGATCTGACCTGTGAGATGGTCAACGTGGCACAGTCGGTCTACGGCCTCGAGACCTGCATGCACCTGACCTGCACCGACATGCCCCAGGAGAAGATCGATGCCGCCCTCCAGGCTGCCTACAAGGCCGGCTGCACCAACATCCTCGCCCTCCGCGGCGATCCGCCGCGGGAGAAGGAGGCCTGGGAGGCCACCACCGGCGGCTTTCGCTACGCCAAGGACCTGGTCAAGTACATCCGGGAGAAGTATGGGAACCACTTTGACATCGGCGTCGGGGGGTACCCGGAAGGCGCCGACGACAACCCGGATGTCGACCAGCTGATCGACCATCTGAAGGAGAAGGTCGACGCCGGCAGCTCCTTTGTCATCACCCAAATGTTCTACGACGTCGACAACTTCCTCGCCTGGGTCCGCAAGTGCCGCGACCGGGGTATCAACGTCCCCATCATCCCGGGTATCATGCCCATCCAGACCTACGCCTCGTTCATCCGCCGCTCCAACTGGACCAAGGTTAATGTGCCGCCGGAGTGGCTGGAGGCCCTGGAGCCTGTCAAGAACGATGACGCCGCCGTCCGTGAGATCGGAAAGACCCTGATTGCCGATATGTGCCGCCGACTGCTCAAATCCGGCCTCATCAACCATCTGCACTTTTACACCATGAACCTGGCCCAGGCCACCAATCTCGTCCTGCAGGAACTCAAACTCATCCCCTCAGAGGAGACCCCGCTCCAGCGACCTCTGCCCTGGCGGCCGTCGCTCGCTCTGAACCGTCGCACCGAGGACGTCCGCCCCGTCTTCTGGCGCAACCGCCAATCCTCGTACATTGCCCGCACCCAGACATGGGACGAATACCCGAACGGCCGCTGGACGGACTCGCGCTCGCCGGCCTTTGGCGAGCTCGATGCCTACGGGATCGGCCTGAAGGGCACCAACGAGCTCAACGTCAAGCTTTGGGGCCAGCCACGCTCCATCCACGAACTCTCCGACATCTTCGTCCGCTTCATCCAGGGCACGCTCGACCGTCTCCCCTGGAGCGACGCCCCCATCACCGCCGAGGCCGACGCGATCAAGAACGACCTGATCGACTTGAACCGCCGCGGCTTCCTGACCATCAACTCCCAGCCGGCCGTCAACGGCGTCAAATCCTCCCACCCTGTCTATGGCTGGGGTCCCAAGAACGGCTTCGTCTACCAGAAGGCCTACCTCGAGCTGCTCGTTCCCGCAGACCTGGTCGACGAGCTGATCGCCCGCATGGACCGCAATGACGACCTGACCTACCACTGCATCCGCCGCGACGGCGAGCTGCGCACCAACACCCGTGACAGCCCCAACGCCCTCACCTGGGGCATCTTCGCCGGCCGCGAGATCATCCAGCCCACCATCGTCGAGACCGTCAGCTTCCTCGCCTGGAAGGACGAGGCCTTCCGTCTCGGCGAAGATTGGGCCAAGTGCCACGAGCCCTCGACTCCCACTCGGAAACTGATCCAGGGCATCATGGATGACTGGTATCTAGTCAACATCGGTAGGTTCTCTTTCTTTCTAGTCTTATCTTAATTTGGAAAACGTTCCAACTAACCAAACCCCACTAGTCAACAACGACTTCCACAAGACCCATGATCTCTTCGACCTCTTCAAGGACCTGACCGTCAAAGACCTCGACCGGGCGATTCCCAGCGAGGTCGCAAACGGCACAGAGGCCTGATCTTCATAACTCTTATCCAATCCTCTACCTCACCTCACCTCACCTCATCTCACCTCACTATTCGACTATTTCAACACACCTGGCATTCAGGGAACAAAACCTCTTTCTTCTTACTTTTTTGTTTTGTTTTTAACGGCGACACGAATGAAGACTTCTCAACGACTCTTCCGGCGCGATTTGGGTGATTTCAACAATGCATGATTCAAACATGACTTTAACGTCTCTATCTCAACATACATCTTCAACGAAAACTTTCAACATTATCATATACCCTTCTCTTAACGAGACCGCAAACCAGTAATAGACCAGGAACAGAGAGAATCAAGAACAAAAAAAAAAGACTTAATTCAACATCATATGACGGAGTTTCAATCTCTCGGAACCATATTTTAAACATGATTTTTTACAACGGAAAAAAGCGCAGGGAAAAAAAGCGATTCCCCCTTTTCAACATGGGTTTCGAAAATCTTAATCGGGTGGGATTTCCTTTTTCTTCCTCTTCTTCTTCTTCTTCCCCCTGCATATTCGATTCTTCTCTCCTGAAGATCCTTTTCTCCCGTTAGGTACCCTTTGTAACTCCTACTTTGGATATAACTATACCTCTTCAAAAAAAAAAAAAAAAAAAAAAACCAATTTCACCCTAGTCAGTAGGTAGTTAACTAGTAAATAGCTGTATACATCATGTAGACATACATCCCACTGAAGCTCGATAACTTCTCATAGTAAAATCGTATATTTCTAGAAGACAGCACTAAGAATGCTATAAGAATACAATGCATAGGATATTATTACAGCCCCAGAACAAGACACTACGAAAGCAAGGTCTGTCCGATCTTCCCAAACGTCCATCCAAAAGGCTTCGCAAACCAAACTATCCAACTGCTCACAAGCACCACATATCCGGCTGCTCGCCCGACAACAACCATACTGAACCCTAGAACTACCAGGTACAGCAAGGCCTGCCCGATTTCCTTCGCAAACTGCGACAGCTCTTCCTCGCGGGGCTGAGGCCACGAGCCGGTTGACCTGTAGATAGCAATCACCGCTAGAACGCGTTTCAAGACGTACAGGCAATGTTCGGCCATGTGCAACACTCTGCTGAGGATGAAAACACCGCACCCGTTCCCCGGGAAGCGATTGAAAAACCCCTGCAGTTGAGCTGCAGATAGCAGAAAAATGTCAAAAAACAACGAGATCGTCTGGATATTGACCGCATTCTGGCAGTTTTCCCGCCGGTCATCACCAGATCGTCCGAGGGAAATGCTGGGGATGTTGCAGTAGAAGGAACCGTCGTTGCCCAAGTCTATTTGATGTCCATCAAGTTCAGCCACTTCAACAACCCTCGCTGTCTCCCTTTGATAGCGATATCCCTGATTAAGTTCTGGCCCAGTTCCGTGATCGGAAACTCGGGATGCTCGCACCTTGGGCTTCTGCAAGCCCTGGCAAGCAACCGATGTGGTCCGTCCTCGCAGTCCCGTCTTATCGACGACCTTTTTGGCGTCTGACCTCGTCACTTCTCCTGGCATATGGATGGACCCACGAGTGGTGTTTGCGGTTTCAGGGCTGACTTGGTCTACCTCGTGGGGAACGACTCTGGCGGGGGTGGTGGTCATGGGTGCGTTTTCCTGACAAGAGCCTCCGGATACTTGTTCTGATTTTGCGGATGAAGTGGGCATCGGTGCTTTGGATCCAAACTGTGTAGAGATCCGTGGTAGGTTCTCGCGGGCTCTGCCGGCGGTCTTCCGCATAGTCTGGGTTGGAGGTAGTTTGACGTCTAGACGTTTGCCGCTCTTTTGAGTGTCTGTGGTCATGTCGACGGGAACTGAAGTGTGCATGGTAATGGGTGTGGTAATGAACACATCGTCTCGGTCTCGTGCTGTCGCCTTCTGTCCCCTCTCCTGGCTCTGGGTCAAGTTGACGTTCGGGTTTGAGTTCTCTTTGTGCGAGCTTTTGCCAGTCCCCTTGTTCTGAGTTTCGTCTTCCTCGGCTTTCTTTGGCGGGGACATGGTCTTCAATGACGGCTTCGAGCATTGGGCAAGCTTCAAATTCTGAGAAATTGGCTTCCATTCGTCTTGAACGGCTTTTCCTGCCTCCGTTGTCGGCAGCTCGAATGGGACGTTGATTCTTGGTTTTGGCTGGAACTCCTTCACGGTACTCCGGCTTTTCGTAGTGCGCTGATATACGCTGTCGCTCATGTTCGGAAAGAGCAGTATTTCGTCCGGGTTTTTCATATCTGGCTCGTTGACAGCTCTGCAGCCTAAAAAAGAGCCATCCTTGTTAACGCGGTTGATTATCGGTCTCACAGGAGAATTACTGCCGTCACCACCAGTCCTCAGTCGAGATCCTGTTTTGCCCAGTGCGTCCGTGCTGTAGTATGGTCGGGGGTATTTAGATGGTGATACAAACGGCTGCGCGTCTGCTTCGAATATGGGAGTAGAGCGCTTGGGGGAACTGTGCGGCGACTGCTTGGGAAGCTGTTTCTCCTTTGTCCGGCCCAATAGCGGCTTGGACTCAGGCGTCACAGTCCGAGGGCTCGGCAAAGTATCGGGATCGACCATGGCGTCTCCATCTTTGTATACCTTCTCGATGCTCTGTTGGAAGTTAAGGATCTGTTGAGCCGTCATCATCGGCGGATTAGGTTCTCTTGCTGAGGGCATGTGCACAACAAATTGATCTTCCCATTCTGTATTTGAACTCCCCGGTCCTGATATGGGGGACACCGACTGCTGTGAGGAGACACTGGAATCCGGTTCCGTGCTGCTCCTATCGGACGACTTGGACGGTGTGCGGGGATGAAGATTCGAACTATCACTTTGGCCCCCCTTCAAGCGCCATATCTTTCTATCGTCATGCCGACGTGTGCGGTCTTTTGAGGAGCTGCTCGCAGGGCTGACAGAAGCACTTTTCGGACTCGGGCTGACAGTCCCAGTTCGGGAGTTCGCCCCTCTAGTCGAGATCCTGGCTTCGCGTGTAGATTTTTGCACAGGTTTAAGTATTCCGATGGACGAATCTGACTTTGGAGAACTGTGTGTTGACATCATTTTACGGCACTCCGCGCAGTGGGAATGCTTCGTATGATGATCTTCGCATTCTAACGACGATGGTGACTTCTCTTGTTGAAGTCGTTGTCGGTACTTCCGCCAGTTGTGCTCATGTTCCAGAGGCGCTAACTTGGCAAGATTGTCTTCAGTTCTGTTCGGCGATTCTGACGTCTGAATATGCCCTGTGTTCTCGTGATAGAACCGGCCGCCCTCCGTGAAGATCTTGGGTACTGGAAGTCTGGTCTTTTTGGACTTCTTCACGATGGTATCCGGTACGTCTTCCGAGCTTTGGCTAAGTTTCCCTGCCATCGCGTTGTCACCGGGGTGAGTATCGCTAGGAGGCTTTGGACATGGCGTATCTTCGAAAGTGACAGTCTGCCCGCTGGGGTCTTTACAGAGGCCTCGATGGCGTCGATACGATCCCCTTGTTCGTCCTTCGGTAGCCATGGTCGCTGAAGTGTTGTAGCGGTTATCACGTCGAGCACCTAAGCGGATCAAAGACCAATCTTTCGACCATACCCTGCGAGAGGAGGATTTAGATGCCGGTGCTGCTTTGGATAAACGTATACTGCGGTTCTCCTTTCGTCGAGGGTGTCTCGGTTGGTGAGAAGATGAAGAGTGTTGAGCATAGTACGGCTGGTGGATAGGAAATGGAATACGGGCAGACATCGCGGAAGCCGAATATTCTAGTGGCTGGGTCGAAAAATGAGGTAATGATATGGTTGGAATGTTATGCAGCCTGCCATCTCAAGGAATGCGGGCAGGCTATTGAGGAAGCACGTTGGAATGTGGACTCGACCGCCCATCCGCCGCGTGGAATGGAAGCTGCAGACGCCATGGAACACGTTGATCCTTCCTTTTCTTGATGTTGATGGAAAGTGCGAGGCAGGAGCCAAATCCCGCGAGATACAAAGGTACAATCCAACTGTATTATTCAAAGAAATAGAATGGGTGAGTTGGGTCTGACCATGCCCTTCATACAAAGTGAGGAATCGATTACAAACCTGGGCCAGACCACATTCTTTAGCTTGAAGAAGGCTGGGGGAGGAAATTCTAGACCCATGCCATTGACCCTCAACGCCAAAATCAATGCAAAACCGAATTAAACGCCACAAATGCATGTATGTATATGTAGGAAATTGAACCATTAGGAGCGACGGACAGGCGGCCTGGATTCCATGGAAAGGCTGGCGGTAACTAGAAGATGCCCGGTCGAGAAACTGGTACAGTTGCGGTATCAAAAATATCCGGTTTCTCGACGGCTGCTCGGATGGGCAAATTTGGGAGCACTTGCCGCAGGGGTTGCGCCTCCAGGGATGCTGCTCCTCTTCAGAGGACTGGACGCTTTCTTCAATGGGCTTGCTCCTCTGTCCTTGTAGAAAAACTCGCCAGGATTTTGGACGCTACGGCGAGAGTCTATTTTGACTGCTGTAGACTTCCTCAAGGGCGAATTTGCGTGAGAAAACACGCCGAGGCTGCCACCATCCCCAGTGCCGGCAGCCGATGACGGGCGGAACTGTGGCTGGCGAATGGCAGTGCTTGTACCACGAACGAGGGGAGAAGCGTCTCGTAGATGGCTGGGGGTCTGCAGTGGAGCCCACTGATGTGATGCCAGGGGAATTGATGGGGTGCTGCCTGTAGGACGCCTAGGGGATGTTCCCTCTGGGTCGACATGACTGACATAGTTCGGGTTGGGGCTTGTCATAAATCCGCGGTTGACGACAGTAGTAGGCGTATACACATCGACCTTGTTGAAGTTGTTGTCAGCGCCTGCCTGGGTAGCGTTCTCCTCGGAGAACTGAGTCCCCACGTCTCTCATCCGAGGTTGGGTTCGCGGGTGCACGTATTTGATATCGTACTCCTTCAGGACTTCTTTATGCACCAGGGTAGAGTCTTTCGCCTGCTGGGTGAATGATGAGGACAGAAGCGACGCTTGGACAGAAAGCAAGGTCGTGAGAACCAAAGTCGTCACAATTGTAATGCTCGGACGAGGATCGGAGATCTGCGTAGGGAGGAAAAGCCAGTAGACCAAGACATGTCCAGGACTAAATAGACAGAACAATCTCAAGCAAATCGGTAGGGGGTCCCAGACGGCAAGTTCCCAGACATCCTTCTGCGCATCCGGATGCGCCCTCGACTCTGCGGCCCCCGTCATGACCTTCCCAGCAAGATACCGCAGCGGCGAGGCTGTCATCGGGGTGGACTGTACCCGGACACGGTGCGCAGAGGGCGTTGCAGGAGGCTGGTCGATGGGGGCTTCGAATAGACGATAGTGTCGTTTGCGATAGAAGGTATAGACGGCATTGAAGACCGAGAAGAAAGCGAGCATGTGAACAATGAAAGAGGCCTAGAAGGAAGACACAACACAGTGAGATCAGAACAAATAGGAATCGGCTTTTTCGACCATACCAGCCAGCTCAGCCATGGGACTCCCCCATCTTCCCCAAAGACATCGTCAATCGCCTGGCTCCCCGACGACTGACTGTTTGCCCTGGCAACCAAGAAGACGAGATTCAAAGCAACACCAACAGGCAACGCCCAGTCTTTCTCAAACTGGTCCCAATCATTCGCATCAATCTCCTCAGACAGCCACAGAAGGAAATCCAAGGGGTTCAGATAAGATTTAATCCGCTCGGCGAGCGGACGGCGACGTATGAGCCGCGGCATTTCTCTCTCTCGAAGAAAATAAGGAAGTGCGGAGGATAGATCTGCGAGGCCAGAAAAAGCAGAATCGTAGCCCTCTTATTGACCAATCTGAATGGAACAAGGGCGGTTCAGAAACCAAGTACTCGGTGAAAGCGTCCGGGCCAGTGAGCCAAAATTGACCATAACAACAAAGAAACGAAACATTTTGGCTCTCCGCATGCTTAGATAAGCGGGCCGATAACAAGCAGCTTCGGCTTCACCAGCTGGTCTTATCTCCCTTCATGAGGGCAGCAACCCATCTGAGCCGGCCATTACAGAGGTTAACACCTGCTCTATATATCACAGGCTGCAGGACTCATATTTCGGGGCTGTTGGGTGTCTTGTTTTTCTCGTTCGTATCTTCCTACCCACCATGGCGGCCCCGATCTCGTCATACAAGGTACCCCCTCCCCTCACCTCACGGTTCATTAGCTTCAGTCTAATAACAATTGCTTGTTCTGAATATGTAGGACCGGCAATTTCTCGCCGTCATCGGTGACGAAGAGTATGTTTTTATTTTCGTCTTTCTTTCTCGAGGCAGAGATGAACCGACTAACACATGTGGTTGCAGCTCAGTGACCGGTCTTCTTCTCGCTGGCATCGGTGTAAGACCTACTGTTTAAATTCGGATATGTTGTCCCTAGAAGAAGGGATAGCTCATCGGTTTTTCTTATCTAGCATGTTACGGACCCCCCCGACTCGCAGCGGAACTTCCTCGTCGTTGACGCCAAAACCGAGACTTCGGCCATTGAGAAAGCATTCAAGAATTTTACAGAGGAGAGAGCAGACATCGCCGTCGTGCTGATCAACCAACATGTATGTGCCAATTGTGGAAATTGCCCATTCATTAAAACTGGTACTGACTGTTTCAACTTCAAATCTTAGGTGGCTGAGCGCATCCGACACATCGTCGACGCCTTCTCCGACCCGTTCCCTGCCGTGCTTGAAATCCCGAGCAAAGATCACCCGTATGACCCAGACAAGGACAGTGTTCTCAAGCGGGTAAGGAGACTGTTTGGAGAGTGAGTGATCACGGGTTTGGCCTCGATTCGAATGCTGGGGAAAATAGTAGATACCCAAACCTATATGAAATACATGCACATAGAGACCGCTGTTTATGGGGTTGGATTTGTTACGGCGCACACACCCAGTACTTTACAAGGGAACAGTAAAACACTACTACAAGGGTTCAAAGGATATGCATTTACATTACTGGATCATCCTTTCAAGCATAAAACATAATTTCCAATTTAAACAGAATGATGCTATATACTTTCATCTTGGTCGCGCAGCGTGACATGATAGAGAAAAAAGCAAAGAAATCAATCAAATGTCTTCGTGCAGATAGATAAGATGCCTCCAAAGGATCCCCCTGGTGGTAGAGATTATAGGGATACAGGTTGACAGAGCGAGATAGTACCGGGACATATTGGCTGACAAGGAACCGAAACAGAATAAATATAGCGTTCGTTGGTGCAAAAACCCAAGCGCCATGATTCGAAACAAATAACCAAGCAAGGAAGTAACAAAAACAGAGACATGCATGGATCATAAATTGACAGAGCACACGAGAAACAAATATCGAGACAAGCAGCGCTACAAAACAAATTGGAGTGTCGTCGATAGGCAGGGCATCATGCTGTGCAAACGTAAATCAGCGATCGGGGGTTCATCGCGCGCTTAGAATTGGATGTTGTCGGCCTGCAGGCAGGTGATCTTGTCTTCGTCTTTGCTGAGGACATCGGCGAGGACGCTGAATTTACCCTGGTGACAGAAAAAGAAAACGTCATTACCGTTCAATCTGTAGACCGCAAACCGGGAAGACATACCTTGGGAATCTGCGCAGGCAAGGCCACCTCCTTCTCCAACACCAAGGGACCCTTCTCCAGAGGGCATTCGAGGTCGACATTCTTGATCTGCTCGCACAGATCAACCGTCTGATGGACCAAGGTGATCACATTGTTCCACTTGACGTCCAGCAGCACCGTGGCTCCCTTCTCGACTGTTTCGGTGAGAATGCCGGAGGCCCTGATCTTCAAAGCCTGGCCACTGTCGATCGAAAAAAAAAAAGATGATGATATTAGTAAAATGGACGACACCGGCAATTCAGTTCAATCACGCAACATAAACATACGCTTTGGGCGGGTTAGGAACCAACTCCACCGACTGGATCTGCAGGATATCGTCGGTCGGGATCGCACAGTGGAACAGAGGGTTGTCTCCGGGGACGGCAGGGCCGTTCAATTCATGAATAGGAGCCTGGCTAGAGGGCCATAGTGACAGAGGGTTGGCCCCAACAGAGATGGGAGCAAGGAGACCGACAACGGTGGCGGCAGGTGATAAGAACTTCATGGTTGGAGATTTAACAGACGATGTTCTCGAGATCTGTCGAAGTTGATCGATGCAGGACGCAGGACAGCAAGAGACCTATTAGTCTATGGTCTTTAGTGTTTTTAACTATCGTGAGACGGTCAACAAGGAGTGCTGGTTATCGGATCCGAGGCGGTTGGGAAGAGGGGAGAAGGCTGAAGCGGTGACTACAAGAGGGCGATTCCCTTCTGAGGTTGGCTCAACCCCATTCCGCATTGGCGATGACGACTGGCCACGTGATCGTACAGGGACCTCCGACCTGGTCACCTGCTCCACGCCTTGCTTGAAGCTGCCTCTTACCAGACATCTTATCCCCTCTGTTTACTGTCTGGGTATAACGGCTTTTGAAGCCAGCTTGTGGTTTCTATTGAAGCTGTCTAGTCGGTTTCCTTATCTTAACCTCAGCGCATCGTGATAATGGGAATACGACCCACCTTCCCCGCCCAGGGCTCCAGAGATATGGAGATGATTTGGAGAGAGATGCTTGTCGAGGATGATGATTTCAGGTGATATTATGTACTAGGTACTAGGTATACGGTATCAGGAATTGAAACGGATCTGACATTGTGATCTATCGTTGACCAAATACTTAAATATTTCGTGTATAGTTCCGTGTATATCTCCAAGCGAAAGGACAAAACTTCTAGAACAGGCACCAAGACTCTATTCCTGATTTTTCGGTAATGAAGAGACTGCCACTGCTAACTTCTCTTGCAGATACCGCTCTTGTTCCAACCGGCTCTTCTTCAGATCCACACCCACAACCAGGATGCCGAAACTGACAACGCTCAACGCAAAGAGAAAATAGAATGGGGTAGACGCGTTATCAGAAGGCGAGGCGTCAATAATTGCACTGGAGACAAGCGGGCCGATGAACGACGAGGTTTTACCGATGATACTGAAGAGACTGAAGAAGAGAAACTCGTGGCCTCGGGGTGTGACTTCAGAAATCATGATCTGCGAGTAACTGTACCAGGGGCAGACGACAAGGCCGTAAAACGCTTGGTAGACCTGATGATGTTAGAAAAAGAAAAAAAAGCCCCCAAGACAGGAATAGATTCTTCTCACCCAAACTTCCCAGACGTGGTGAAACCCGAAGTTATCGGTCCAGATCCCAATCATGCCCCATCCATCCAGCAGGATGATACTGAACGCAATGACATTGAACATGGTCTTTGTGCCTAGTTTGTAGCGTTGCTGGATCGACCAAAATGCATAGATCCCCACTGCCTGGGCTACAATGCCCACAATCAAGAGATACACCAGCTGCAGCGTGTTGTAGGCGACTACCTCGTTCTGTAGGGTGGAAATGACGGTGACGGTGGTATTCAGCGAGTCACCGAGGAGGAAGTAGCCTGTGTCGTTATCGTTAACCGGTGACTAAATAAGGGAGTACAGCTTGCAGTATCTCTCACCAATAAGATAGAGTAAGCTCTGTTTGAGCTTCCAGATCTGCCTCATGGCATAAACCAGCTGCTGCAAGCCTGCGAGGACGATATTCCGGCCATCAGTGCTCTGGCCCGGCCGTCTCTTCTCGAAAATGAACCAGGGCAAGGAGACGAGCAGCCAGACCCCACTGGCAAACGCAATCAACACGCTGAGCCCCCAGTTGTTCTTCGCCGTGCTGGCGTCGACGTCCACGCCGAACATGATCCCCACGATGACCGCCAGAATGACAATCTCCGCGACGGACTGCACGTAGAACGAAACGTTCGCCAGCTGGCTGCGCTTCATCGTGTCCGCCAGGTCGTATTCTTCCCGACTGATCCTTCCAGCCGCGTACTCCTCCGCCTTGGTCTTCATCTCCGCCGTGTTGCGCGCCAGCCCCGGAAACGCCGCCGTCCAGAACGTCAGCGTAGTCTGGTACGCGATCAAGCCGACGATATATAACCCTGTTCCAATATGCCACTGATCGGCCGTGTGCACGCCCAGCCAGGCGAACCCGACAGCATACGCCATCACCGACAGCACGATGAGAATGTTCGGCCGCCAGGTACCAAAGTCCGCAAAGCTCCCGATCACAAGAAACACCACGATCTGGATGGCGAACGAGATGCCATTGCATAATAACACGATGCTGTTGACCGACCGCCGGCTGCCTGCGAAGACGAGCGTGTCGTTCTCGTCTGCCGCTTGGGAGAGGAGATTCTGGAACGCAGTGGGCGCGAAGTCTATAGTTTAGAAAAAGAAAAAAAAAAAACATCACTGAATAAAGAGATGAAAACGATTACTGAAGAGAGACAACCCATTGTTGCCAATATAGTAGCTGGAGAGATTTAGTCTCAGTCTCTTAAACGAGCGTCAACCACCCACGCGTAGTATGCCCAAATCTCCCGTCTGGTCGTCTGGAATCGCTCGTCGAACTGATCGGGTGCCGTGGGCTGGTCGACTGGCGCCGGCGATTCCTCGTCGATGGCAGATATGCTGTTCTTGGTGTCGCTCATTTGGTGTAGCGGAGGATGGAGAGGGGATGCTGAGGCTTTAGTCGGTGTGGTGGTTCTCCTCCATACAAATACGTAGATAGAAAGATAGACAATACCAGTATTGAATGGAACCCCGCACGAGAGATAGATAGTACTCGTAATTATGAGGAATAGGATCAAGGATAAAGGATAAAGAATCAAGGATCAAGTAATCCACCCTTCGTTCTAAGCGCGAATGGCAAGACAGGGATTAGAATCCAGATAACACACTACTCCGTAAAGAGGATACACCGAGTCCAGTGAAAATATTTTTATTAGAGCAGAAGGGATGTATTCTGCTGATCCCAGTATGCGAGGTAGAGATAAGATGCAATAAAAGCCCGAAAGCAAAGCCCGCCGAATCCCAGATTATTCCGATAATAAGAAGAAAGCAACAGCATGCACAGTCATGCGGCCCCAAGCAGGACCTTATTTTTTTAGGAAAGCAAACCACAACAGCGACAACCTCACCACTCCAGAGGTTCGTTCTTGACGTCGCCGCGGTTCGTCTTGGGAACCGGGGCCGCCTCGATCTTGGTGGGACCACGGGGGCCGCGCTTCAGGTAGGCGCTGCCATCCAGCCAGGGGGTCTCCAGGGTACGCTTGTTCTCGAAGCGACGGATCTTGTCCTCCATCTGCAGGGTCAGGCCGATATCGTCGAGGCCGTTGAGCAGGCAGTGGCGGCGGAAGGAGTCGACTTCGAAGCTGGCGAGCTTCTTGCCCTCGGCGGTCCTGACCTCGAGGTTTTCCAGGTCGATTTCCAGCTCGCGGCCGGCGCGGGCCTCGTCGGCGATGCGTTGCAGAGTAGCCTCGTCGGTGATGGGGATGGGGAGCATGCCGTTCTTGAAGGTGTTGGTGAAGAAGATGTCGGCAAAGGAGGGAGCGATCACGCATTTGATGCCGAAATCCAGCAGCGCCCAGGGGGCGTGCTCGCGCGAGCTGCCGCAGCCAAAGTTGGGACCCGTGACGACAAGGATCTTGGCGTTGCGGTACACACCCTTGTTGAGAACAAACTCGGGGATCTCCTCACCATCCTTGTAGCGGAGTTCGTAGAAGAGGGCGCTACCCAGACCCGTCCGCTTGATGGTCTTGAGGAACTGCTTGGGGATGATGGCATCAGTATCGACGTTGGAACGGTCCATGGGGGCGGCAATGCCCTTGAGGACGGTGAACTTGGGGAGACCGGCACTCGAGCCCAGAGACGAGTTGGCGTGCGGCTCCTTGTCGGTGGGGATGTCGAGAATGCGCTCGAGCTCGTCGTCGGTGATGACCTCTTCGGGCTCGGGCTGCACATCCAGATGCGGCCGCACCTTGGCAAGGACGGGGCTGGTGCTGATGTGCTCACGGACATCGGCCATCTTGCCCACAATACCAGCCGCGGCCGCCATGGCGGGCGACATGAGATGGGTACGGCCAAGAGCACCCTGGCGACCCTCGAAGTTTCGGTTCGAGGTACTGGCGCAGCGCTCCAGGGGGGAAAGGATATCGGGGTTCATGCCCAGGCACATCGAACAGCCAGCTTCTCTCCACTCGAAGCCGGCGTCGGTGAAAATCCGGTCCAGACCTTCCGCCTCGGCCTGCTCCTTGACCAGACCGGAACCGGGGACGACCATCGCACGCTTGACATTGGGGGCGATCCTTTTACCCTTGACAACCTTGGCGGCAGCCCGCAGATCCTCAATCCGCGAGTTGGTGCAGGATCCGATGAACACCTTGTCGATCTGAACCTCCTTCATGGGCGTGCCGGCGACGAGGCCCATGTACTCCAGAGCACGTCGGCAGCTTGCCTTGCGGTTCTCGTCCTCGAAGTCGTCAGGGCCCGGAACCACACCGGTGATGGGAACGACGTCTTGAGGAGAAGTACCCCAGGAGATGGTGGGGACGATGTCCTGGCCGTTGATGTAGATGCTGCTGTCGAAGTGAGCACCGTCATCGGTGCGCAGGCTGGACCAGTAGCTGACCGCCCGCTTCCACTCGGCGCTGTCGACCTTGGGAGCCAGAGGGCGGCCCTTGAGGTACTCGAAGGTGATCTCGTCGGGAGCAACCATACCGGCGCGGGCACCGCCCTCGATCGCCATGTTGCACATGGACATTCTGGCTTCCATGCTCAGACCTCGGATGACCGATCCGCAAAACTCGATGACGGCGCCAGTACCACCGGCCGTTCCGATGACACCAATGACGTGAAGGACGACATCCTTGCTGGTGACGCCCGGGGGCAGCTGGCCATCAACCTGGATGCGCATGTTCTTGCTCCGACGGGTGAGCAGAGTCTGGGTGGCCAGGACGTGCTCCACCTCACTGGTTCCGATACCAAAGGCGAGGGAACCAAAGGCGCCGTGCGTCGAGGTGTGACTGTCGCCGCAAACCAGGGTGGTGCCCGGCAGGGTGAAGCCTTGCTCCGGGCCGATAACGTGCACAATACCCTGCCGCTTGTCCCCCATTCCAAAGTATGTGAGGCCAAAGTCCTTCACGTTATCCTCGAGGGTCGAGCATTGCAGGCGGGAGTCCTCTTCCTCGATGAACTCATCGACGTTCTTGAAGTTTTTTCGCGACGAGGTGGGGATGTTCTAGGAGAGCAAGCAGAGAGATTAGCAGCCAGCACCATCATTAATGGAACCCATAGATATAGCATACGTGATCGACGGTAACGAGAGTGCAGTCCGGCCGGCGGACTTTCCGGTTGGCATTCTTGAGACCCTCGAAAGCTTGCTGTGTGTGACGTGTCAGCCCAACTGGATAGAACCTCCCAACCCCGCCGACAGTTTGTTGAGATAAGAGCTTACAGGCGAGGTGACTTCGTGGACGAGGTGTCTGTCTGTACGAAGGAATCAGCCGGTCAGTCCTATTCCACCGATAGCCTGGCGAGGGAGCAACCTACCAATATAGATCAGGATGGTGCCATCCTCCTGTTCGTTCACAATGTGGGCATCAAAAACCTTGTCGTACAAGGTCTTGGGCTTCTTGTCGGCGGAAGGCATCGTCGCGTGTAGGGCAAGCTTGCTGCTGCGTATAGAGATCCAAAACGACACAATCAACCAGGGTTCAGCTCGGACGAGCACTGAGAGACGGTGAGAAAACGCGCGGGATATGACACACGACCAGAGCTTGACGTTGTATTACTATTTAAATCTTGCTTGCAGGCGATGTCGCTGGAGAGCTTTTGAGGGGCAAGGCCGACGTCGGCTGGTCAGCACTCAATCGGGTCCCGATGATTGGCCGATGCGGAGACCGTCGGATCTGGAATGCCCGCGTCCTATTGGCCGACCGCGTGCCGACACCGGAGGCTCTGCCTGGCGCTTATGCACGCTTACTGCCGGGCTCCACCGCGTCCGGAAACGGCAGGCGGCATCATGTGGAGGTGCCAGCCCTACCATCCTTGCCCTATTTCCTATTTTGTCTGACAGCTCTGCTTCGTGCCTCACTGCTTCTACTTTTATTCACTGCAACCGCAGCTACCCCCATGAAGTGCTATAGTCCTTGATTGGTACTAATAGAGCTATGAATACTCTTCACTCTTCTTTCTATGCCTGCCCTCTAGACATCCCACCACCCCTCCATGTACGACCGCAGGTCGACTGTGTCCGGCAGCTTCAGGTGCGGCAGGAGGTCGTCTCCCTCGTGGACTTCTCGCTTCGACCACCCGTTTCCAAAGTACGCAAACCGATTGCCACTGGGGTTGACGTACTCGTACTCCCAGTCCTCCCAGCGCGGCTCTCGCCGAATGATGTTGGCCGTCGTTGCGCTCCCTGGGAACAGGCCGTGGACTCGCCCTCCCGGTTGACCGCCGTTGTACCATGACCGGCAGTTTTTCTTCCCTGCGGTAGAGTCGTCGTTGCCTGTCCACACCGTGCGGGGATAGAATCGATCACAGTACTCGAGGAAGTCGTCTGCGGCGTGTTTCGAGGGCACCATCGCCTTGATGCCCTGGCTGCGGATCTTGCGGATCACCTTGGCCACGTAGGTGATTTGGTTCTCGATGCTGTTGGGGACGCTGCCACTGTGTCCGGCCGAATAAGGCCCTCCTGCCCAGAGCAGGTTTGGAAACCCGGGCGCTGCGACCCCAAGATACGAGTATGGAAACCCGTAAAGGCCGCCCGCCTTCCATGCAGATTTCAGATCCACCCCGTTTGCGATGATAGAAAACGCAGGAGCGTGGTCTACATTCGCCCCCGTCGAGCAGATCACGACGTCGACGCGCCGCTCGACCCCGTCCACAGTGACGATTCCAGTCTTGGTAAACCGTTGGATTTGCGTTTGAATGTAACTCACATTTGCCTGGGTCAAGGCTTCCAGATATCCGGGGCCGGGGGTTGCGCGACGACAGTTGGGCGGGAAATCAGGGATGATCTTGTCTCCCAGTTCGGGCGTGCCAGCTACGCGTTGGAGCATGGTCTGCGTCCACTTCTCACGCGTCTGCTGATTTTCGGGAGAGTCCTTGAAAATGGCACCGAAGCGGGAGAAGTAGCCGATTTCGATGTTTCTGCGGAATTTGAGATATTCATCGGGATTCTTGAAGGAATCAAGCTGTTCCTGAGTATATAAATTCGGCTCCAGGCGTCGCACGTTATTATTTGCGCCGAAGGAGTCGGCAACCCAGGTCCGGTTCCGGGCATAGTGGTCGACATGTGAAGCGATCGGTTGGATGGAAGGCAAGACTTGCAGGCCAGATGCACCGTTTCCGATGAGCGCAATGCGTTTTCCCTTTAGCTCGACCTTGTGATCCCAGTTGGAAGAGTGGAAGAGAGCCCCTTGGAATCGTTCAATGCCCTCATAATCAGGGAGCTTCCAGGCATTGAAATGGCCAGTTGCGTTGACCAGGACGTCGAGTTTCTCTTCATAGACCTGCGTTGATGTTAGCCTCAACCATGAGGATTAGGAATATTTCCTGGCGTCATGTACCTTGTGTGAATCTCCAAGATCCTCAATGGTGGCTCGCCATTTTCCTTCATCTGGCAGCCACTCGACCTTTTGGATTTTTTGCTGCAACCGGAGATATTTGTACACGTCATACTTCTTTGCTAGGCCCTGCCAGTACGCTCTGATTTCATGGCCTTGAGAAAACTCCTCTGTCCACTGCGTGTTCGGTGCGTATCCAGACTGATACACATGCGAAGGGACATCACATCTGACGCCCGGATAGGTATTTTCATACCTGAGAGAGAATCCTCAGTACTATCGCAGCAGAGCCCATCTAGATCCAACATACCAGGTGCCACCCTAACACGAAGAAGTCAGAATCTTCACCTTTCATAGCCACCCGTTCAAAACAAACATACCACATCTGCGTTTTTATCATATATCCGCAAGTCTAACCCCGGTAGTTTTGCAGGCAAGAGGATTCCCGCCGTGACTCCAGTCAATCCGGCGCCGATGACCCCAACTTTGATTGGTCGCACCTCATCAATGGGATGCTCCTCTATTTCGAATGCTGGTTTTTGTGCTGCTACTGTCACAATGGTTGAATCTTTCAGAGGGATCAGTGGCAATGCTGCTGCACTGCTATACCGCAATGAGGGTTGCAGATCAATTGCCACCTGGGCCTCGACTGCTGCTGCCATGATGAAGCCGTTTGGATTCTACTAGTGATTTGTTTACTGGCCAGCTCCAGGAAGAAGAGGAGACAGACTACAAAAGTCTCGAGTAGTTTGATCTGCTCTTCTTACTCTTTTATCAGGCAGCTACCAAAGAACGCGATATGTCCTGGTTGACGCTCCATCTAGGTTGATACACGCCATCTACAATGTTTATTCGCAAACTTCCTCGGGTACGGATTATTAAATGTTGTTTCTAGTGATTGGTTGGGGTTGGAGAGATGCGTTTGATACATCCTGCTGAGCATCACATCACTGCGGCTCGCGATGGTGTCACTCCGACCCGAAATTGTGTATTCGGAGAACATCCACGGATATTCATCCAAGTACATTGAACCTTTCAGTTTAGTGTCGTTTCGATGAGCTAACCCCCTCATCAAACGCGTATCTAGATTCTCTTTCCCCTCTCCAACGCGTGTTCTTGGTGTCCGGATTTGTCAGGCCTCTTTCTTCTCTTATCGTTTACTATTCCGTCATAACTCTTTTTATGACGGTATGGTCAAGCCCCATGACGAAGTCTGCTCCTCGAATCTGCAGGTCATACAGGGTACGAGATTCGACGCTCGCGCCGGTGATCATCGCATGAATGAAAGTGAAAAGTTTGAATCCATCCCTGCTGGCCAGCTCCACCGGCCAGTTGATCCGTCAGGCCTCATGTCTCATTCAGTAGTAGATACTCGGCGTTTACTTCTCTTTAACCTGTGTACTACAAGACGGCGCTTTCGCCGGGGAAGAAATTCTAGATGTTGTAGAAAATACCTCTCAGCCCTTTAGGGGAGATCAAACAGCCTATCTAACTATGTAGTTTCTGAGATACCGCATGTCGGCTCACCAGCTCATATACTTTGAATACAGAATAAAGGTGTAGTAAATATAATGAATGAACTATTCATCCACTTATATCAAGGTGTTACTCGCCTTGGTGTACTATCTCACCTTCACAATTCTGGCCAAATATATAACGGAGCGCCTTTCCAATATTTATTCTATGATTGATAGTTCATCTTGGATAGATAGTAGTAATCTAATGCTAAGTAAATCTGTTTAATTATGAAAAATCATTTCTATCGTAACTTATAGGCAAAACATTCTATGCATCAGAATTTTCTTCTAGGCCAACGACAATTCTCTTGCCCGACGCCGTGCCCTGCCGCAGGGTCTCCAATGCCGCGTTGATCCCCCCAAGGCCCCCCTTTGCGCGGATAATTTCCGGCAACCGGAGAGTGCCCGACTGCAACAGTTCTTCCAGCCACAATACCATGCTCTCCCCAACTGTCGGAGCGGTGTGAAACAGCTTAATGGGAACGGTGTGGTATCGGATCCGAGCGTCGCGCTCCTTGGGCAGACCTGTCAGCCCCAGCAGGTGGGGATGGGCTGTAACGTCAAGAGTTTCCTGCAGCAGGGTGGCCGTTTCCTTGCCCACAATGTCCATGGCATACCGAAGTTTCCCACCGGTGACCCCCTTAATGATCTCCACGGCGCGCTTGGTATCGTGCCGGTCCACAAGGAGATCCGCACCGGCGTCGAGTAGCTTTGCGCCGTGGCGGGCAACGTCGGCCACGCAGATGACCTTCAGACCAGCCATTTTGGCAAGCTGGAGGGTAATGTAACCGGTGGTCGTGGATGCTAGGTTTTATTCCTTCAGCATGGATATAGATCGGTTGCCGGTAGGATTATTGCTTACCTCCCCAAACAGCGATCCATTCTCCCTTCGTCAACCGTTCTCCCTGGGCTGACGACAATAGGCACTCTTCTCTAATATCCTCAGGGATGTCGCCTGGGCTAATCTTTCCAAGCACGTCCACGAGATTTGGCCCCGAGGCGCACGAGGTGAAATCTAGCCCCAAGGAAACACCCAGTGCGAGAACCGCTGCAACGAAAGCGACACCCAACGATGCTGATGCGTGGATACACGTTGATGACGGGACTCTAGCAGCGTTGAAATGTGTAGCAATAGCATATTCCTGGAAGGCTGCCTTGCGGATATCCCGATAGTCGGTAGATGGGACAAGAACAATATCCCCGACGCGCAAGCGAGACGAACCATTGGCAGCAGAGGTCTTGACAACGACGCCGGCAAGGTCGCGGCCATTAATCCAAGGTAAAGCCGGAATACCAAAGTTGAAAGCACTAGGGAGGTGGGATGTCAGTACGGAGTAGAAAACAGCGAGAGTATACATACGGTGCTTTCCAGTCGATCGGATTCAAGCCAATGGCAACCACCTTGACGAGGATCTCCCCATCGTGTAAAATAGACGGAATGTTATGGTTGTCGACCAGGGTGTACTGCTCTCGAACCCCATTGAGCAGGAGAACACTCTGCTTGGCTTCGGGAACAACGTGCTGGACCAACTGCGAGGGTGGAATGACATCGGAGCTACCTTTAATAAGGAACGAGCGATGGAACACCGGCTGGTCTTCCTCGTCAAGCTCGGTCACTTGTATATACGTTGACGTTGTAGACATGGCTGTGTGTTGGTCCCAATAGCGAGTCGAAGACGCTATTCCAGTATTTTTATTGTAGTAGTATGTATGCATCCCAGATGCGAAACAGACAGAAGCAGGCCTTTTGTTCCTTTTCCCTTGGAACCGATAGCCTTGTTCGGCTTCTTGCCTCCTCAATTGCTCATGGTAGGACTAGATTGCGTAATAAATCTTGATGATGAGGAGGAGAGGGGGAGGGGGTAAGCGGATTACCAGGTTATGTTGGTGTGATTCAGCCTAGTGATGGCGCTTCACGGGCCGGTTGATGGACCCATGCATGTCGCTCTTTTGATCTCTAGCGATTTACTCCGTAGGATTGATAATCAGCTAGTTAGTGTGTTTAGCATCTAGATAGGCCTTCCTGCATCTTTGATAGGGAGAATAGGATTATTTCTTACTTACCTTGTAACATCACTCTCATAGAAAATGGCGTGCCAACTAAAATCAAAATATACAAATTGGCTATGTGACGGCAGAATTCAAGTAGGGCAGTATAGTTCTTGCGGCCTGTAGATGCCCATAGCAAAAGATGGACGATCCAGAGAGCTTGCGACAGCCTCTCCTGCGACATGAATCCGATACAGTTCCCGAATCGGCTACCATTGGCCGCAATCTTAGCTGGTCCAGCGCATATATCCTCGTCATCTCGCGGGTAATCGGCAGCGGTGTCTTTGCGACGCCTGGATCCATAGTCAAATCGGCTGGCAGTATCGGAGCTACCTTGTTGGTATGGATTGTGGGCACGGTGCTGGCAGCGTGTGGATTGGCAGTGTCGTTGGAGTATGGCTGTATGCTGCCTCGATCTGGGGGCGAAAAGGTACACCTATCTACAGTGTATCCAAGGCTTCATCAGTCAGGACCCTGATAGTCATCGTTGGCGTGTATCTCATCAGGTCTATCTTGAATTCACCTACCGCCATCCACGCTTTCTCGCGTCGACCCTCGTCGCCGTGCAGGCTGTACTGCTAGGCTTCTCAGCCAGCAACTGCATCGTCTTTTCCAAATACACCTTGTTTGCCCTAACCGATCAGCCTACCGAGCGCCAGAGCAAAGCTCTCGCGGTCGGTCTCCTCACCGCCGTCACCATTATCCACGGCGGCTTCCTCAAGAGTGGCATCTGGCTTCAGAATGTCCTGGGATGGATCAAGCTCTTCCTCATCGCCGCCGTGTCCCTCACCGGTATCTGGGTGATTCTGTTCCGCTCCAGCAACGAGCTGCCGAACACCCCGACCGACTGGGATAATCTGTGGGCCGGTTCCAATTGGAGTTGGGGCGTGTTGTCCACCGCACTGATCAAGGTCCTATATTCGTACGCGGGGCTGAGCAACGCCAACAACGTGCTGAACGAGGTCCACGACCCCATAGGCACCTTGCGCACCGTCTGTCCGGCGGCCTTGCTGACCGCGTGCGCCTTGTATCTGCTGGCGAACGTCGCCTACCTGCTGGTTGTGCCCCTCGACCAGCTCAAGAGCAGCGGTGAGCTCGTTGCCGCGCTGTTCTTCGAACGCGTCTTTGGCGCTCACGTGGGCCGCACGCTTTTTCCCCTCGCGATTGCTGTGTCAGCAGCTGGTAACGTGATGGTTGTGGCTTTTGCGCTGGTACGTTCCATTGCAGCGGGCCTTCCAGATCGGGAAGGAAGGAAGCTAGTCGGCCCGAGAGGGTTGTCTGCTCCTTCCCCAGCACCATCTTCTTCTTATAGCTGACATGGGGGAAAACCCGTCTCAATACAGGCCCGAATCAACCAGGAGGTTGCTAGGCAGGGGTTTTTACCTTGGTCGCGACTGTTGTCCTCGTCTCGGCCCTTTGGCTCACCGCTCGGGGGCCTGCTGGTGCACTTCGTCTCCTCGTTCGTGGTGATTACACTGCCGCCGCAGGGGGACGTCTACAGCTTTATCCTGGATGTGGAGGGATATCCGAACCAGTTCTTTGCACTCGCCGTGACGGTTGGCCTGCTGCTGCTGCGGATACGACGGCCGGACCTCTCTAGACCCTTCCGAGCGTGGCTGCCGGCGGTCTGGTTGCGGGTTCTGGTTTGTCTGGCCCTTTTGGCCGCGCCGTTCTTCCCACCCCCGGACTGGAGAGGAGACGTGGATTTCTTCTACGCAACCTACGCGATTGTGGGTGTGGGCATGTAAGTACTACTACTATAGTACCGAGCTTTTCTTGCCGGACGATTATTAACTGCCAGCAGTATCGTATTTGGAATAGCATACTGGTACATATGGACGGTCTTGATGCCTAGCTGGGGAGGGTATTCGCTCGGGGAAGAAGACGAGATGCTGGACGATGGCACCAGGATTACAAAGCTGACGCGTTTATATGCCGGCGCGAAGCTGAACAGCACCGCGCCATGGATTGGTTCGGTTGAAAATCCAACTGCGTAACCTGCAGCGAGTCAATGCACCCGGCTAGTTATACGAAGCATTGGCTTCCTGATCAACGTGCCTGGCGCCATTTCGACTTCTCAGCAGTTTGATTCGGACAGGGGACCCGCCAACTACATGTTTCAAACAAATACAACTAAAATTCCTACATGTGTGTGTAGATTGAAGATACGCTTCCAGGAGAGAAGAGAAAATGCACCTCGTCACCCGACATATCATACCCATACTCAAGTATTTCAAACCGAGAGGATATAAATCTTTATTTGATCTTATGGTGCTTGGTGAAGATTGAGTAATCTGCTTTGGTGTAGTATATATATTTCAGAGAGGAAGAATGCTTGTTATGCCCCAAGATGTCTGCCCTTGTTTTTGAATTCGAGTCATTCCAGGCTTTCCCATTGATTAGACTTAATCCTTTATATTTGTTCCATGATGGGGGATTCGGAAACGAAAGCAACCCACATGTTCATCGATTGATTTGATATACGAGCTATACAGCTATAGAAGATCATATGGCAAGCTTACAGAGATGGCGGAATCGTGGCTATCCCGATATAAAGAACAGAGTAGTATATAGTTACATGGTCGTCTAATCCAAGAAAAAAAAAAGAATTAAATAACCGATAGTCTGCCGCCACAGTCAGGCGAAAAAGACTCAAATTTTAAACCCCGGCTAAACGTGGGCTCCAAAAGCTCGGTTATCTTCACGGAACACCAAGAATGCCAACCGGTGGCGGATGACCAAGGCGATGACGCCGCAGACCGTCTGTACGGCGACCATGTGCAAGGCGAGCCTGTCTTCTCTCAAGGGACCCGTCCAGACGAGCCACAAGTTCAAAATAGTCAGATTGGTCGATTCGACGATCTGACCATCCTTGTTCTTCGTCACACGCACCAAGCGCACCCTGTGTAGAATTTCAAGGATGGTAGCGATCAGCGGCGATGGAGGGACGGTCCATTCCGTCACGGACGCATCGAGCAGACCAGTGACCGCATTGAACTTCGGAAGACGATGGCGCGGGCATGGGATGATGCCAAACAGCTGCGGGGTTGAAAAGACAAAGTTGAAGATCTGGGGGATGAACAGCAGCAAAAGGGTCTTGCTGAAATGGCCCAGAATACCGACCACGGCAAAGACCATTCCCGCGAGGTAACAGTATGTGTCCCCCACAAAGACCTTGGACGGGTACCAGTTGTGACACAGCAACGCCAGGGAGACCCCGACGAAGGGAAGCAGGAAATAGATGGAGAAGAGATGGGAATCCATCGCAGGGTGCGGGAACGGAGTCATGGGTGCGAGGTACAATGCGTCGTTAATGATCAGCAGAACCGCAATCACCAGCGACTGAGCAACCTCGATCCCGTTGATCCCCGCCAACATGTTGATGCTATTGGGGCAGAAGATGGCCACAGCAGCCATGTAGCCATAGTATAGCCAGCCCAGGTCGACAAAGGATCCTAAATAGCGCTGCAAGGGCACCGGGACCACCACGTGCGTGACACCGAAATCGACAAAATAGACAATCAACATGGGGATCGCGCCAAAGGCCGGGATCAAGACCTTGTGCCGCCACCGGATGTCGAGAAGATCATCTCCGATGCCGAGAATGACAATGGATTGTAACGAGAGGAGGCCGGACAGATACGACGCGAGCTGGCGAAAGGTTTTAGTATACAACCATGCCACTACCGACGAGCAGCGTCTCACCTTGCTATGAGGGAACCGATGGAGGAACCGGCCCGTCTCGACAGGGTGGGTTTCCAGCACGACGTCCCGGTTACCTCCTCCAGACGTCGCGGCCACGATATCCTTATAAAAGGGAAATGGGATAAACGCAATCAACAACAGCAGATATACGACTGCGCAGACAGCTCCCATGGTTTCCGGTCTAGAGTTTCATCACCGTCAGCAATAACCCTGGTAGCATCGATCCATCTCGTACATTTCCGGTCTTCGCGGCTTGGCCATATCCTTGCCCTTCAACCCTGCCTTCATAAACACGGGACCCAGCCATCGAATCATGCTATAGGCCACGGCAAACGCAATGCCGCTGAACGCCATCGAGGCCACCAGCGGCGCGCCATCCCCTTGGAACGTATTCACAATGATCGCAAGGCACACCCCCACCAGCACCAGCAGACGCCAGGTCTCCGCCCGCGAAAGAGTCGTTGCATAGTTCATCGTGGCGGCAGGGCAATTGACATGTCTCCTACTCAGACTCGCAAGAGGACACAGCTTTACAGTGTAGTATAGTTAGTAGTTCTTCGGCTGAAATCTGGCTTCAAGAGCAGCTGACGACACCGACGGGGCACATCTACCGGCAGAAACACACACCGCCCTATCCATGCAGGCGGTCAGGCTCCACGTGCTGCCTCCCTCCGGAAACGGAAGCTTAAGCGATCTCCCGATTGGGAGCTCTCGTCCAATGGTTCCAGCCTCAACGTGCACGGCGAACTTCCCTGTCACGACCCGGTGTTTTGACGCCAGAGCAACAACGTCGACTGGCGATTAAGATCTTCCCCCCCGCCTGTCCTCCCCACATCTTGGTTTTCCTCTGGTTTTCTCCGTTTGAATAGGTGGAGTTACGGTGATAAATCCCAGCTCGCGGTGGAGGTTGGTGGTAGAGCCAGTGCTTGCAAGGGGGTTCGATCGCTATCGGAAACGGCCTGATATGGCATCCGGGTTCGTCGACTTCGACGCTGGTCACCGCGACCTGGTCACCGTCACCAAGTTCAATTTCTATGGCAACCGCATTGTTACCGCGTCGTCGGATCATCGTATGAAGGTGTGGGACCAGAAGGACGGTTCCTGGCAGTTGACGGACACCTGGCGCGCTCATGACGCGGAGATTCGCGATGTAAGTTAATCCTTCGACAGCACTGTTGTTCTTTGCAATTGTGTTGAGCAGAATGAATCGTTCCAGGCGCAGTGGAATGGTCCCTTCATGGGCCAGCATGTCGGGAGTGTGGGTGAGGATATGAAGTTCAAGATTTGGCAGGAAGATGTGACGCAGCCTCCCAACTCTGGCCGGCGATTCAAGGCCATCTTCCGCTTAACTGCACCTCAGAGATACCCGTTTGTCTCTTTGGACTTCCGTAATATTGACCTGGAGACATACCTTGGTCTTATCACGCGGGATGGGTACTTGATGATCATGGAGCCCGTCAGCCCCGACACTTTGGCCGACTGGCAGGTTGTCGACCAGTTCCGGGTATGCCCTGCACCCCAGCGAGGAGAGGAGACCAGCTTCAAGGTTCAGTTCCACCACGATCCCACAGACATCACCCACTCGATCCTGCCGAGCTGGGATCGGAAAAGTCTGTCCGTGGTGGTCGCAGCGATGGACACTGTGAAGATCTATCGAACCGACACCAACCGTCGCTTCTACCACGCGATTGAGCTGACTGGACACAGCGGTCTGGTCAGAGATATCTCATGGGCCAATGGCTCGGTCCGTGGCCATGATCTCATTGCCAGCGGGTGTAAAGATGGATTTGTTCGCATCTTCGAGGTGTACACCTCGGTCTCGAGCAGCGGGTCGCAGGGTGGCACCGACCGTGGTTCAGAAGCCTCGCCCCAGTCGCCTTCAAATCGCCCAGCCGCACAGTCGGGCATCGGCTCGGCCCTGGCTAACCGTGCTCCATCCTCTCTAAGCAATCGGCCAGCAACCGGTGACTCTCAGTTCAAGCACCACTTCAAGGAAGTCGCATGTATCGAGAGCAAACATCTCGACGTATGGTCGGTGGAATTTTCATATGCAGGTGTGTGTCCATCTCTCTCTCTCCCTCCCCCTGACTTTTTGTGAACACTGTATAAATGTCTTCAAACTAGGAGACTGCCTCATCTCGTCGGGTGACGACGGCAATGTGCGATTCTGGAAGAAATCTCTATCTAGCGAATGGCTGGAATTCGCCGAGGCGAATATGGCAGAACAGTAGTGCCAACTTTCATACCTTCAAAATATGTCCCTTGGCCCCCTGTTTGCACTACGGGGTAACTACCGACCGATTCCCACTTAGATCACTTTATGTATTATACCCAGTTCTCTCACGGCCTTCTTATTCGCCTTGATCGGCTCTAGCTTTCACTTGCGCACTATCGGTTCGACAGCCCCTGCTAGCAACTGCACATACCAACTGACCGAATGACATTCGCTCTTGCCACTCTAAAACACGCCTCGGAGCTAAATGGGGAAGGAAGCAGTTTGGAGCAAGATGCCCCCTTCTTGTTCTCCTAGGGTGACTGATCCGTGCACACTTGGCTATCTCGGACTATCCTTACCTTGCCATTCTCCTCTTCTTTCACGCCGCTTCAATAACCCTCGGCCAGCAACACCTAGAATGGCTCTGGGGCCTACCCTCGGGACCGGGGTCTTCATTGCTCCCGGTCAAGCTCTGGCCGTTGGAGGACCAGGTTCCCTTCTTATCTCATATATATTCTCAACTCTCCTAGTATACTGCATGGCCGTGACTGTTGCCGAGGTTGCCGCCCACCGACCCGTTGCCAATGGTACAATTGTCACTCATGGCTATCGATATGTCTCGCGAAGTTTCGGATTCTCCCTGGCCTACCTTCGGTGGGTCTCTTTTTCGATGCTGGTTCCATATGAGATCACAACTGCCCTGGTCAGCAGTGGGCTTTTGGAGCCTGGAAACAAGGTTGCTATGCGGATCGCCTTGGTAATTCTGATCATCATTGGGTTCAACTTTACGCCGGAAAGGATTTTCAGAAGACTAGAAAAAGTGTCCACGGTCCTAACTCTCCTTACAATCATTACGATGCTGGCGGTATCGGTCATTCTCTGCACCAAAGATATTCCCGGCGGCCCGATGCGCGGCTTCCATTACTGGACAAACCCCGGCGCTATGAATTCGTATCTTTTCCCTGGCGCTCTCGGACGGTTTGTCGGTCTCTTCCAAACCCTACTCTTCAGCACCATGGCGTTTGCCTTTACACCAGAAATGATTGTCAATCGAGGCGAAGGGCTGGAACCGTCGACGCATCCCAACATCATGCATATCGCCCGTCGGGATGTTTTCCAGTTTGCTGCCGTTCACCTCCTGGTCGCTCTGGCCGTCGGGATCATTGTCCCTTCAAATGATCCGAATTTGCTCCACCGTGGATCCGGCCCTGCCGGGTCGCCATTTATCATCGCCATGAAAAACGCCAAGATTGGGGGGCTACCCACGGTAATCTCGATGATTATGACCTTCTCGTCAGTGGCGTCTGGGCGATCGTTTCTGTTCCTCTCGTCGCGGGCCTTACTCGCACTGTCGGAATCCGGTCATGCGCCCGCGATACTCCAGGCTCGGACAAGCTGGGGGGTTCCATATGTCGCCGTGTTGACCTCGGCCGTGTTTGCGAACCTGGCATGGTTGTGTCTGCGCGTGTCGAGCTCCACCGTCTTCAACTGGCTGGGCCAGATCAGTACCACCATGGGATACCTGTCGTGGCTGTGCTCCTGCATTATCTACCTCCACTTCCACCGCACTGTCGAGCGTCGCTACCGCAGCCGGATTCAACCCTACGGCGCGTATATCGCCATTTTCCTGTGCTCGATGCTTCTGGTCCTCAACGGGGTTAGCTACTTTGTCTGGACAAACTTCACCCTGGCCCGCATGACCACGGCTTACATCGGACTGGTGCCGTTCGGATTCTTGTATGCGGGACACTATTTCCATACCTGGATGGGAGGTCACGGCCAGCAGTCAGCAGAGAAGATCGAGCTTCAGAGTGCCAGCCCTCCGGAGACCGCCGACACCGACTCGACCATGGAGCGTCCGAAGATTGGGCATGCACTGTGGCGACGGTTCGTTACCTGGCTCAACGGGCCCTACGGGATCAGCACGACTCGACCAGGAACACCTGTTCCAGAGGCATAATGGGCGGCTGGTTAGAGTGATGTCAATTCAGTCAGTGTTTTTGAATCGTCGGTTGTCTGTCCCAACCTATTGATACCCCTTCAGAGGAATAAACCGAGTATTAGTTATCACCTACCATGTTGTAAGGACCTATCAAACCAATAGTATTGGAAATCTCACATCCCACGGAACGAGACGGACCGCCCCGACGATCTTTAGTTTAACTAGTACATTGCAGGATCCATTGTAGTAACCAAGTACCTACGGTAGGTAACTAACTAGTTACCTAGTTATAAGGAGGGCCTTAGTAGAGGATGGTGTTAGTAGTAGGTTCAGTGGCTGCGACTGGGAGCGAGCGACAGTCTGTAGGAGAGAGAATACTTGTTGAAAATAAAATACCCCATAGTCTGGTTGAATTAAAAACCTCTGTAGTATTTATTCTTCTATTGACTCCCAGTCATTGTCATCTGTGGGACTGACTTGGCGAATGCGCTACCAACACACCGTTGGGCGTGTTGCAGAGCACACAAAGTGGCAAAAGCCATTTCTTTCTTCCGAAAATTTCAAATTTCTGAGGGTTGATTTAAATACTGAGTATTTTACTCTGTATATATATTATTTGATTGATTGTTCTGGCGGTCTGTGTGTGTCCTGTGTCCGCCACTTTAAGTTAACTGGTGTGGTAGTGTTGCCTGGTCTCTGCGTTGGCTTTTCTTTTCCCTCTAAGGCTCCCTTTTCCATTTTCCCTTCTCTTTCTCTTTCTTCACACAGTCAGTCCCTCTCCCTCTCTCCCTCTCTCTCTTTCTCTCTTTCTCTCTCTTTCTCCCTGTCTATCTTTCACACTCTTCCCTCCCAGAGTCCAGTCCATTAGGTAACTCCTCACTTACCTAAGATGCCCAGATGACTATCCCCCCTATAAGGTTTCTACCTAATCCTGGACTTCCATTTCCTTCCCTATATTCCTATCCAGTCATCTATCCTCTATTATCCTATTATTTTTCTATTCCTTCTTATTTTTTCCCTCTTCCCCTCCTTTTTAGCAGATTTTTTTTTTGACCATAAGATCCAACACCCATCTATTATCATTATCATTATTATTATTGCTGGTTTAATTCACCTTCACCTACTACTATCTGTCACTGATCGACAGGTGAACACCCTGTTCCCCCCCCCCTTACTTCCACCTTACCCTGAACACTCCATACCACTTCCACTATTAGTCTTCTAGTAGATTGGTTGTATGGAGTACCATGATGCTACCTTTCTCCCCCCCCTCCCCCAGTTCCTGTTGAGAACCTTCCTCTATTTATTTCTCTCTACCATATACTCTCTCTCTGTTTACTTTCTCTTTCCTTCTTTCCTTTCTCCCCTGTCTTGCCGTGGGAGATCTGGGAGAGGGCGGGGGGGTTGTTTTTCTGCTCTCACATTCCAGCCACCGGGTGTGCCCAGCCCTTCCCCTCCAGGGCTCAGACACCACCTGAAGAACTGATGTGTTCGAAGTCTTGACCACGTTGCTCTCCTGTGCTAACTTCTAGATGCTAACTTGACTTTACCATAGCATTATTTGTTTTTCCTTCCCCCCCCCCTTTTTTTTTTTTTATCTTTTTTTCTTTTTTTTTCTACTGACTCTCCAGATTCCCTGGCTCGCAGATCGACCCTCGTTTCATAGTCTTCTTGTCTCCTCATCCCGCAATATCACATCGGAGCTCTCGGAACCGCAACTCCCGGCTGGACAGGCGCTGCACGCCGGACTATCCCCTTTCCGGACTAGCGCTAGGCCCGACCATGGCCTCCTGCACATGCGTCCCGTCTGATTGGCCTGAGGCGCCCTGACCGTACCGTACCATTCTTACCGTACCAGCAGCACCTCCTGGGGCCGCTTCCGGGTACGGCTTGACCACAGGTTGACTGGACTCTTTTTTGCGGGTTCTCGACTCGCCCCCCTCCCGTCCCCCTCCAGCTTTTTCCCTGTAGTAGACGGACGGTGGACTGTGACTGTGGACTGTGCAGTGTGGACAACTCTCCAGTGCTGGAAGAGACTCTCTCTCTCTGCTGCTCTCTTCCCTTTCCCCCTCCCCTTCCCTCTTCCCTTTT